TCTATTTCAGGTGTAGACTAAAACTTAACCAGAACTAACCAAAGACCAGATCAAAACAAAACCAGGTCTAAACAGGGACTTTGTGGGACTGAACCAGGATTAAAACCAGGACTGAAACAGGACTAGACAAGGACTGAACCAGGACTAAACAGGGACTTTGCAGGACCGATATATAGTCCTGTACCAGGACTATATCAGAACTGAACCAGGACTAAAGTGTCAACAATCAATGGTCTATTTCAGGTGTTGGCTAAAACTTAACCAAAACTAACCCAAGACCAGATCAAGACAAAACCAGGTCTAAAAAGGAACTTTGTGGGACTGAACCAGGATTAAAACCAGGTCTAAAAAGGAACTTTGTGGGACTGAACCAGGATTAAAACCAGGACTAAAAAGGGACTTTGCAGGACCGAAACAAGGACTGAACCAGGACTAAAGTGTCAACAATCAATGGTCTATTTCAGGTGTTGGCTCAAACTTAACCAGAACTAACCGAAGACCTGATCAAGACAGAACCAGGTCTAAACAGGGAGTTTGTGGGACTGAAACAGGACTAAAACCAGTACCAAAACAATAATATACAAGGACTACACAAGGACTGAACCAGGACTAAACCAGGACTAAAGTGTAAACAATCAATGGTCTATTTCAGGTGTTGGCTCAAACTTAACCAGAACTAACCAAATCCAGAGAGAACCAGGTCTAAATGGGGACTTTGTGGGCCTGAACAGTACCTAAACTGTGTCTATCCTTTGGGTCTTGCCCGGTCCGACACGCACCGCCCCGGGATCTCCACCACCACCAAACCCACCCCCTTCCCCCCGCCGGGACCTACCGTGCACCCGGAGCCAACCCTGCTGCTGGCAAACCGCGTCCTCCAGCAGCCGCTCCACGACAGGATCCCCGCGGAACGAGTCCAGGTCCACAGCCGCCGGGTCCAGCTCCATGATCGTCCCCGAAAAATCCGCGCTCCGAGTCCCAGAGCACCGACGCCGGACCTCCTCCTCCTCCTCCCCGGACCTCCGCCGCGCCGGCCCCGGATCTGTCCCTTTAAGAAGCTAAAAGTAGCCCAAAGCCTCGGCGTCGCTACCCGGGCTCGCTCTCTCTCATTTTCCGCTCTTTTTCTAACTTTTAAAGCGGTAAAAGTCGGGAGAAGTCGCCGTTAAAGTGAAGCGGAGTTATTCCCAAAAGCTCCGGTGCGGTAAAAGTGCCGGGAGACGGTGAAACGGAGGCCGGGGGAAGGTGCGAGGAGAGCGGACTCACACTCGTGTTCGTGTCCGTGGGAAAGTGGCAGGGCTCGGGGGCGCGCGGCAGGACACGCGGGGGCGCGCACGGGTTTGGCTAAAGTTTCAGCGCGTACATTATTAAAAACGGTTTCAAATAAGCGTAAAATAAAATAAATTTAATATAATATCGACATTTACATTGTTATTGTTAATATTATTTGATGCATTGTTGTTTCTATTGTTTTTATTTATTTATTTATTAGTTTATTTATTTATTTTTACATTCAAACTTAGACAAACTTTATTGATCCACAAGGAACATTTTTGGGGCACAATAGCTCACACAATATAATAAATAAATAAATAATAATAATAAATAATAATAATAATAATAATAATAATAATAAAAAACTATAAAAATTGTAATAATAAATTCTAAATAAGTAGCAAAAAAGACCAAACGACGGGCGTTAAATAAGACATAATTATAAAAATGTAAATGTAAAAGTCAAAATAAAATAGAAAAAGTAAGTAATAAAATATAAAATCTCAGCTTTATACAAGAAATCACAGAAAGACAACAATGATATGATGATTGACAGTTGTAGGGAGTATTATATGTTACATAAGTGCGAGTTGTTGTGCAGTTGTAGGGAGTATTATCGGTTACATAAAGGTGAGTTGTTGTACAGTTATAGGGAGTATTATCTGTTAGGGAGTTGTAGGGAGTATTATCCGTTACACAAGGGGAGTTTGTACAGTTGTAGGAGTATTATACTACAGTGTTTATAAGGTGAGTTGTTGTACAGTTGTAGGGAGTATTATCTGTTACATAAGGGTAGTTGTTGTCAGTTGTAGGAGTATTATCTGTACATAAGGGTGAGTTGTTGTACAGTTGTAGGGAGTATTATCTGTTACATAAGGGTGAGTTGTTGTACAGTTGTAGGGAGTATTATCTGTTACATAAGTGTAACAGATCGAAATCGCGATTTTCGATTTGTGTGTGAAATGATCTCCAAACTCATATAATCGAGTCGAATCAATTTAAGCTTAACAAAAGTTTATTTAGGGATTTTTTAAAAATATAAATAAGTGTATTTAAAATGTTGTTTTTTTTTTTAAATAGAACAGCTGGATATATATAGTTTATTTTGGATACATTTATGTTTTTCTATGCCTTATTTCATGTTACAAAGTATTATTTTAGTTTTACACATCACAAAACTGCTCTAAGGTACATAGGCATATTTGTAGCCTATATTTATTTTCAATTTGACAGTTTTGCATAAATTATCACTAACAAAGTGTTTTTCGGAGAGAGAAATGCTGAATCTAACAAAAAAAATAATTGTTTGAATAATCGTGATTTCAATATTGACCAAAATAATCGTGATAATATTTTTTTTTCCCATAATCGCACAGCCCTTTTAAGTTTTGTTTTGTTTTGTAGTGCTGCAAAAAGACCGAACAAACTTACTACCACTAAACTTCATAAAAATGAACCACATCAGTCCTGATCAGAAACATAGAGTGACCAGTCGTCCCCTGTTGACCCGGGACCCAGGACGAGTTTCTCTGTGTCCCCTGTCCCAGCAGATTTATCCAAAACCTCTATGTCCCTGCTGTCTCTATTTTTGACCAATTTGATCCCTTCCAACAGTAAATTACATAAATTGTAATTTGTTTAGGTAAAATACAAAAAAATCTGCTTAAAAACGACCAAAACACAAAGAAAATGTCACTATACTAGCTCATGTTCCTTAATTACGCACTCGTTTCACAATTTTATTAACCGGGGATGTCCCAGGTTTTTATTTTGAAATTCAGGTCACCTTACAGACGCTCCTGATCAGTGACCACCTTTTAGAATACAAAAAGAGACAGCATGCCCCCTGCTGGCTCCACAGCGGAACTGATTTGGACAGAAACTGGTTATTTTAATAGATCCATTAAACTACTGCTGCAGGCGACACTATTTATTGGTGCAAGAACATGACAGGGTTTATGTCTGCTGCCTGTGTCCAACCACGAAGTCAAATCATAAACTTCACCAAAAACACCATCAAAAACTAGACAAGTGTTTTATAAAATCTTAAATATAGTCATGTTTTAGTGAAATGAGCAGTTATTTGAGTACCCTGTAGTATTTAAACACTTTAAAAAGCCCATAATACTCTATTTTCTATTCTACTAGTACGTTACACGGTTCCCACTCATTTTCACTGACAAAATTTCAAAACTTTTCCATGACTTTTCCATGACCTTTACCATGACCCTACATGTGTAGAATTTAGCACATTTTTAAGGTTAAATATGAAATGTTAACCTTCCACTCACCTTATGGTTTAGTATTATAGTTTTTTTAACATTCAAAATACTGTCAGTGCATTCATTGTCTTCTCTTTTAAACAAAAGGTCGCAGATGTTTGGAAATAATCATAAAAGCTTAATGAGAATTTAACAGACAGCTGTAAAAGAGATACTAAAATTCCATAACTTTTCCAGGATTTCCTGACGTTATGTTGTTTCTTCACGAGAAATATATCTGGTGTTTTGTTTCATTCGCACACGTTTAACACAAACCCTGCATGTTTATTATTTTAAGTTCTTCTCTCAAACAGTAAACACTCATTTCCACCTTGTGATGTCACGTGGTAATACAGAAAGTGCTTTTAAAAGTGTTTTTAAAGCTTCATACACCACCATTAGAAAAATGTGGATGTTTTAGCCCTGGAATTTCCAAACTCTTCTGAACTAAACGTTAAAAAAAAAAGGTGTTAACTTGAAAACTACCAGATCATGAGATGTAGACAGACTAATAATAAAAAGATTAATCAAAAAAAATGTGTGTGAATGAATCAAAAAGAGATTATAACATGGCTTAAAGCTCCATCCATCCATCATCCATTTTCTTCCTCTGGGGCCGGGTCGCGGGGGCAGCAGTCCAAGCAGGGAGGCCCAGGCTTCCCTCACCCTGGACACTTCCAGCAGTTCCTCCGTGGGGTCCCGAGGCGTTCCCAGGCCAGCCCAGAGACAGTCCTTCCAGTGTGTTCTGAGTCTTCCCTGGGCCTCCTTCCAGTGGAGCATGCCCAGAACACCTCCCGAGAAAGGCGCCCAGGAGGCATCCGGAACAGATGCCCGAGCCACCTCAACTGGCTCCTCTCGATGTGGAGGAGCAGCGGCTCTACTCCAAGCTCCTCACCCTATCTCTAAGGGAGTGTCCAGCCACCCTGCAGAGGAAACTCATTTCAACCGCTTGTATCCCCGATCTCGTCCTTGCAGTCATTACCCAGAGCTCATGACCATAGGTGAGGGGAGGAACGAAGACTGACCAGTAAATCGAGAGCTTCGCCTTTCGACTCAGCTCCCTCTTCACCACAACGGTCCAATACAACGACTGCATCACTGCAGATGCTGCACCGATCCACTTGTCGATCTCATGCTCCATCCTCCCCTCACTCGTGAACAAAACCCTGAGATACTTGAACTCCTCCACTTGAGGCAGGGACTCTCAAGCCACCTTTTCCGGTCGAAAACCACGGCCTCGGACTTGGAAGAGCTGATCCTCATCCCAACTCCTTCACACTCGGCTGCAAACCGCCCCAGTGCACATTGTAAGTCAGGACTTCATCAGCAAACACTTACACATCTCAAAGCAAATTTTTCATAATATTGGACCTTCAAGTGCATCTAAAAAGATAAAGTACACCTACACAAGAATGAAAACCACTATTAGACATTAATATGATAAAAAATAAACACTCTGACAGCACGTTCAAGGACAGATTTTATTCAAGGCTGAGGCGACAAACACAAAACACATTAGAACAAAGTGCCCCCCCCCCACCCCGTCTGCAACAGGGTGGACACGAACCTCCGTCGCCTCCCTCAGCTCCAGTCCGAAGTAGCATTTAGATCAAAACACAAAGCATACAATGAAAGCACAAGCACAAAGATGGGCTGCGGCTAAGTCCACTCCGAGTTCGTCTGAATTGTACAAATAGAAGAAGACTTAATATGCTCGGAAACACTACACGAATGGACACGGCTCTACGGAAAGCTGCCGGTGGAGTCGCTAGTTTGCTAAATATTACGGAAAATATAAAAATGGTAATAGGTTGCGTTCACGATGTTGTAAATTTTGCAGATTTCAGACAGGCAGAGGGTCTAAAGTGTTGTCAAAGTTGGTTTCAATACTACGGAATAAACTACCGATTCTGATACAACGATGATAATTTAAAAAACGCTCTTTCTTTCGACAAAAGAATGCGACTTTTTCCTTTTCCCGTGTGGTTTTATATCGGTGTAATCCCTCAGTCGTCCAAGTAGTTTCCGTGTACTCTGTGCGCTTAAACTTGTTCTAACACAGCTCAGAAAAGGTTAATTTCTGTTCTTTTTCAGTATGGAAACCTGCTCTGGTTTCGATACTTGTTTTAGTAATGATTAGAATCTGATTTTCGACACTTCTGACAACCAAAATCAAAATAACTCGATGGACTATTCATTGGTTTTGATTGAAATAAGTAAACGCAAAAAGTTGTTGAGGATTGGGTTGTGCGAAGTCCTTTTAACTCACACATTTAAAGAGTTTAAACTCACACAACACTTAAAAGAAAGCAAAATTTCTAAGAAGTCATCGAACTTTGTGCCGTTTTTTTCACGTGGATAGATAAATCGCAAACTCTGACCTGTCCTCCGCCTCATTTTTAACCTTAAAATCAGGGTATTAACGTGTTACCTTTTATTCCCGCTCCAAGTCACTCCACCTTCAGAGTGCCATCGCAACACAATCAGCGTGCGGTTTTCTATCGTGTTTTTGTCGTGTGGAAGCAAGAATCTTACAGCTAAACGTAAGAAAGCTTCAAATATTGCCAAGGAGAGATCACTAGATTACTTAAACATGCATGGATGACATCTAAAAACGTTATTACCTGGTAGAAAGCTTTAAAAAAAATCTGATTTCGATAATACCCCGACTTTAATGATTAGTATCTGATTTTCGACACTTTCGATGGACGATTTGTTGTTTTTGATCGAAATAACTAAACGCAAAATGTTGTTAAGGATTGGGTTGTGCGAAGTCCTTTTACCGTAACTCACGAAAGCAAAATGTTGGAGAAGAGGTCGAACTTTGTGCATTTTTTTTTCACGTGGATAGGCTCAGGAATTACAGCGATACAAACCAAAACATCTGCGTGTCGTCAAAAGTTAAATTACAGATACTCCTACCAAACTCTGACCTGTCCTCCAGCTCATTTTTAAAACTTAAAGACGGGGTATTGACGCGAAGTATGTACAGGGTTCCCACTCTTTTTCACAAAATTTCAAAACTTTTCCATGACTTTTTCATGACCTAAAGTGAATTTTCCATGACTTTACGGCACCTACATGTGTAGAATTTAGCACATTTTTAGGGCTAAATATGAAATGTTAACCCTTTCCACTCACCTTATAGTTCGGGATTATAGTTTTTTAACGTTAAAAATACAGTCAGTGTGTTTATCGTCGTCTTTTTTGAACAAAATGCGCATACGTTCGGAAATAATCATAATAATTTAATGAGAATTTAACAGAACGATGTAGTTGCTTGAAAGAGATGCCAAAATTCCATGACTTTTTCCAATTCCCCTGATTTTTCCAGGACTTCCATGACCATGGGAACCCTGTATTTACATCACAATGTTACCTTTTATTCCCCCTCCCTCCCTCTGCTCCCCACTCTAAGGCACTCTCCCTTCAGAGCACAGTTTTGTCAAGCTGCTGTCAACAATTTTGTATCAAGTTTTTGTGGAGAACTGTCGTGAATCTTCCAACTAGATCGCGATTAGGGTTCAAATATGGCCCAGGAGAGATCGCTAGATTACTCAGACATGCATGGATGACATCTAAAACCTCTTCGGGCATGTTTTTTTGACTAGGGAACCAAGTTATAACACGGTAGAAAGCTCAAAAAACCATCAGATTTCACGCAATACCCCGACTTTAAGTACTTCCCATGTGAACGCAACCGGTACGAACTTTCCGTTGAGTCCCGTTTAAGTTGGACCAAGTGCTATAAAGAAATTGCATCTCCCACAGTTTATCATGAAAAGGAAAATACGCAGATACAGTATTTCTATCAGGTCTAGTCTGAGCTGCGAAGCAATAACTAGCTTATTGCCGTCTAAGAATGTTTACCGTCACTTAGGGCTGGTCTCTGTACTTTCTTAAAAGGACCCCAACCTTCTTCTTCTTCTTCGCGCCAGTTCAAAGCGACCGTCTACAAATCCTCTGAACCCGCAGTCCGTTTAAAGGGGGTTACATAAGTTTAAACATGTGTAAATTTTAATGTACATGTCGATAACTCTGAGCTCGTTTGCGAATATACAAAAAACAAATCAGCTTCCCTCACCCCGTCCCGTATTCCTCGCTCCTTCTTCTTCAGCTTTGTCGTACGTTTCTCCGTTGGGATTGGCGCGTTGTCTCGACTTTAAGCCTTCCGGATCGGGACCGACGAAACGTTAAAAAAAAAAAAAACGCGTCGCTCCTTCGCTGCTGGTTCCTGGACTCCACCAGTTTGCTACATTCTCGTCCCCCCACGTGAGCTGGCGTCGCCTGCGAAGGCTCGTACGCGAACTTTTCAAAACTAGATTTTTTTTGTTTACCCCCTCGCGAACTATTTTACAAAAGTGACTACTAGAATTCCACTGTCCCCCAAAACCCGGGAAAGGTCTACGGTGAGTCCTAAATTATTCCGGATAAAATTGTACCATCGATTTTTCCATAAAAGTGTCCGTTACGTCGAGAACACCTCCGAACGATACGATTCTTTGTGTTCTTCTTAATGGCAGGAGACGCACTTTTGAGGTTCGCAAGCCTCCGTCGGTGAGTCCGTGTTCTCCTCCATCAGGTCCTACGTCGTCGATCTGCTGTAAATGGAGGAAGCCTTTCGTTTTTTTTTCTGCGTTACTGCTCGAGTCCATTCTCAAAGCCGTGAGGACTGAAGAATTTGATACAAGAAGAGAAAAAACTCGGCTAAAAGTATGATACAATCTTAATGTGGTATTATACCCATAACCCTCTTTATGTTGCTTCATTTTGGAATACTAGCCCAAAATTACTCCCAAAGTTCAAAGTTCGCAATTTTGAAGGTATCTCGCAAAAAATTCCTTCCAGCGTGTTTTTAAAATCCTCCACTCTTTCCGTGTGTGCAGCCGCCTGTGAACCCAGGACGGGCCACTCCTCCTGGGACCGTTCTCGGGACTGTCTCCTCCCTTTAATTGGCCTTGAGCTGGTTCTGTTCTGAAGCCAGCCTGGTGGTTAGATGCCCAGCGAGCGCTCGTCGTGTGGGCATGACGGTGAGATAAGCCTGGTACCCTGGCTGTGGGCGTGGGCGCTCAGTGCGGAGGGTTCATGGTGCCGTGGGTGCGCTGCTGTTTCTGCTTCTGCTGCTGGAGGAGGAGCTGCTCCAGAGGGGAGAGACCCGGCTGCATCATCGAGCTGGACCAGAACGACTGAGAACGACACGGACAGTTAGATATTACTGAGGTATTACTGAGGTCCGCTACGCCAAAGTGACTGAGCTGTGTTACCTTGAGGCTGTCGGGCAGCACTGTGGACTCCTCCATGGGACACTCCTGACTCCAGCTGCTCTGAGGCCAGCTGGACTCAGAGGAGGGAGCAGTGGGCAGGTAGTCCAGACCAAAACCACTCCCAGGACCTGCACACAAAGAGGAGAGCTCTGTCTTTAAAACGATCTGTCACACATGAGGTCCTTTTCTCTAAACTGCAGCAGAGGTCTCAAACTCACAGTCCGCACGATATCTAAGTTCTACTACCGTATTTTCCGGGCTATTAGACGCGCTCTTAAGCCTCTAACCCCATCAAAAAACGACCGCGCGAGCTGCAATCCAGAACGCCCTATACATGAATCCACTCAGGTGTCCCAGCACGACTTCAGTAAATTACAAAGCCGCACCACCCGCAGAACACGCAAACACACACGGAGCAGACAGCGACCGCGCGACAAAAAACACCCACAGACACACTCATCACTCCACGCCGACGAGGAACAGAACGGAGGAACGAACCGAAAAAGCGAGCGCAATGTGCCACTTCTAGACACGACTGAACAACTGAGTCACTGCGAACACGCCGACAATCCAGCGGTCCCAGACAGCACCTCCCTACACGCCACAACTGAACAAAGCCCAGAGTCACCGTGAACGCCACAAACAAACAAAGTCCCACTGACCCATCACACTGTTGTGTTTCATTTAAAGTCCGGTGCGGTTTATTTGTGAAAAAAGTTTGAAAATAGACCATTTAATGACAGTGTGTCTTATAATCCAGAGCGCCTTATAGTGCTGAAATTACAGTATGTTAGTTGTGTGACTGTAGATCAGTGTGTTGTGTATCACCAGAAAAAGAAGAAATGGAAATTATTTTCGTTCCAATTAGAATTTTAACGTCATACACTGAAAGAGAAAGGAACTGTGATTTGTGATTATCTGGAAAACTATTAATATTTTACAATACAAATGCAGAGAATTATAAATAGATAATAATTTTTCAGAGATTTTGAGACCTCTCCCGTTGCTCTAGCTCGATCCTTTGTGGAGTTATGACCAAAAACACATATTTGACCTTGGTTACCTTGATCGGTTTCAACCTGTAACATCCAGTGTGCCCCGGTTATGTGTGTGCCAACTTGTGTGATGATTGGGTGAATATTTTAGCCCACAGATAGTTCAGAAATTGACAAAATTGCCAATCCTTTATAACGGCGTGACTTTTCAATTGACCCGTGTGACCTCAACTGACCTCGGATCGTCACCAAACTTTTTTTTTGGCAGCATCGGGCACGAGGGCTTGACCCACGTACCAAATTTGGTGACAATCGGTCCATAAATGGTGGAATTATCGCGGGTGGACAGACACACAGACACACAGGGTGAATACAAAACCTGGTCAACCCCTTCAGGGACCAGGTAACAACGAACATTCTAACCACGCACTTCCTGATTATCACACAATAAACACACACACAGCAGCAGATTTATCTTGACCTCAAAAGCTGCTTATATAATATATCTGTACTGTTTACTTCTTGGTCAAATACAGGGAGAAAAGGCAAAAAGCTGAATGAATAATAAACCTTTTTTGTCTGTCTTCCAGCGGTCCACCAGGCGGCGCTCTCTGCTGTCGAAGGGGCCGATGGGTCCGTAGTTGGACTGTGTGTTGTGGTTGTGAGTGGGGGGAGAGGAGGGCAGGCTGCTGGGGTTGGACGAGTGTGGGGACTGGCTGGCCGGAGTCGAGTGGTCTACAAAGAACAGAGAACAACATTATCAGCACTTTCTCACACACATCAGAAAAACTAGAATAGATGCATCACTAATTTCGGACTTTAGGTCATTGCGCAGTGCATACTGGGAAGGATCCTCCGAAAAAGTGAGCATCAAACCGCCATGTTTGTTTTCCCAGTGGGATGCGTCTATTGACAAAGCCGATCTTTTCTAGTCTTTTAAACCATATCGCTTTTGTTACTGGTTCTGATATCGTCATATTTTAGTTTTGGGATTCAGACATCGTTAATTGTGTAGTTGCTGGATGTCCTAACAGCGGAAAACGGTTCGAGAAATTTGTTTGCGAATTCCATAAATGCAAAAGGATCTGTGTGACTGCAAACCTCTGTTCAAACTGTTTCTCTTCCCAACGGAACTGAAAAACAGTGAAAGGCGAAGGGCAGTATTGAACCACAGGAAGGACGAAAAAGGAAAACTTTGACTGTCTAAATCAGGCATGTCCAAACTATGGCCCGGGGGCCAAATGCAGCCCTCAGACAAATTTTTCTTGGCCCTCAGGCTTCCAGGTGAAATGGCCCAAATTGCCTTGCATAAATGAAAAATGAACTTTTTACTGCAAGTTTTTTTGAAAATCTACCTTGATAAAGCTCATATTTAATATTTAGTGTTTGGTTTTAAGAATCTTAGCAGGAATAAAGACTGATGGCTCATTGTAATGTGTTTAGATATGCACATATTTCAGTTATTCACTGTATTGCACTCCAGTCTACGGCCCTCAATCGGCCCTCTGCTTCGTCTGTGTTTAAATATATGGCCCTTGATGAAAAAAGTTTGGACACCCCTGGTCTAAATCATCCTGAGTTTGCAGTGAAAATTTTGTATGTGGAGCACCAACAAAGCAAAATCCCGTTTGTTAATCGAGAGGTGCAGAAGACAAACAGACTGAGCTGCACTTTCTTGTTCTTGTGGTTTTACAGCAACATCACGTCTTGGTCTCTTTGCAGTGGAAGGTGATTCTTGGTGAACAGCTGGTGCCTTTTCACTTTGGCGTCATTTCTCGAGCCGTTTTCCGCTGTTAGGATCCAACAACCACACAATTACGATGCCTGAATCCCAAAACTAAAATATGACAATATCAGAACCAGAAACAAAAGCGATATGGTTCAACAGACTTGAAAAGATCGAGTTTGTCAATAGACGCACCCCACTGGGAAAACAAACATGGCGGTTTGATGCTCACTTTTTTCGAAAATCCTTCCCAGTCTGCATTGCGCGATGATCGCAAGTCCGAAATTCATGATGCATGTATATTCTGGGATGACTTTAGTCCAGAGTGGGTTTACCTGAGCTGGCCGGCAGAGGTGGAGGCCAGGTCGTTTCAAACAGTGAGTAATCCTTGGCCATCAGCGGAGACTCGGGTTTGGAGCTGGGAGGTAGGTTTTTCCCACAGTGACTGAACATGCTGTTTTGGTTTGGCTGCAGAGAAAAGAAAGATCGATAATGGTGAGGATCATGGAAAACCAAAAACATACAAGATTAGACCAAATATTCAGTCACTCTTGAACCAGACGACAGAAAAATAACTGGATACATGACAATTTATTAAAGAGGGGGGCTTTTCTTCTACTGCACATCACCTCAGGTTTGTCAAGTTGCTGTGCACAGTTTTGTACGACGTTTTTGTGTATTTATGGAGAATTACACAGAACCTTACAGCTAAGTAAGGACGGTTTGATGGGAACAACACTCAGGGTTCCCGCTCTTTTTCACTGACAAAATTTCAAAACTTTTCCATGACTTTTTCATGACCTAAAATGAATTTTTCATGACTTGACGGCACTTACATGTGTAGAATTGATCAGACTTTTAAGGCTAAATATGAAACGTTAACCCTTTCCACTCACCTTATGGTTTGGGATTACCGTTTTTTAACATTTCAAAATACTATCAGTGCATTTATTGTCAACTCTGTCAAACAAAAGGTCGCAGACATTCGGAAATAATCATAATAGCCTAATGATAACTTAACTGAATAATGTAGTTGCGTGAAAGATACAAAAATTCCACGACTTTTCCAAGATTTCTATGACCGTGGAACCCTGAACGTTATAACAAAGTAGAAAGGTCAAAAAAGTTAAATTTACATAATTCCACCTCTTTAAAATCGAAATATATTCATTTGACAACTAATACACCAGTGACCTTAATCGACTAAACAAACTACATTATAAAAATAAAAATAATAAATAACACAACATAAGACGTTAGTAGTTCTAATATCTATTCTATACTGTCTTATTTTGTTAATTACCGTATTTTTTGGACTACAAGTCACACTTTTTTCAGGGTTTGGGTGTTTCCCGTGACTTATACTCCAGTGCGACTCATATATTAAAATTTTCACCCTGAAGCGGCGAGAGGTTCTAGTCTTGTGTGTCAGTATCTGCTGCTCCTGTTCCTCCTGTACCACTGTCTCCTGCTGCAAGTAGTGAAATATTCAGCCGAAAATGGTAATCGAGCAGCAGAAAGAAAGTTTGGAGTGAGCGAGAAATTTATGAGGGACTGGCGGAAAACGAGGATGAAGAACACAGCTTCACGGTAACCAGGTGGATGCACCATGAAACTTTCCTGGAAGTCACTGGTTGGATCGACAAAGTCTGAACTTCAGTGACACCGAAACCATCCTGTCGGGATTCAGAAAGGCCGGAATAATTCTAACTGGAACTGATGCTGAGTCTAAAGAGGAAGCGGCGCTCTGTTTACCTCTGGAGCTCGTGGAGTTGCTCAGAAGTGACAACGAGGATGAAGAATTGAATGGATTTAGTGATTTGGAGTGAGATGGAGAGTTTGTTAAACTTGTTCTGTTCTGTTGTTTATGTTATAGTTTATCTGAAGAACTGTTCATATGTGATGTTAACAGTCTGTTGTTCTCTCTTCTATTGTTATTACTAGAACTTGACTTTTAAAATGAAATGTCGGTTCCTCGTCTCCGATTTTATAAAATACATTCTCCCCAAAAAGTGCGACTTATATATGTTTTTTTTTTCTTTTCAGCTCAAAGTACACTACATAATAAGTGAGTCAGAAAAAATACTGTTCTACCTCTCATCATATATTGAAGGATAAAGTAGTGTAGTAATGATGATGCCAGGTCTATGTTGAGTGTATTGTGTGTGTGTATTTTGTGTTATGAAGAGGGTCAGACCTGAATAAAGCCCGGCAGCAAAGAGGGCGGCTGGTTCAGGCTCTCCACTCCAGGCTCCATCCGGCTCGGAGTGTACTGCAGCAGAAAAACGGAACAGACAAATGAATCAATGCTCGTTTTTACTTCGATTTAAAGAGCCTATATTACGCCCGATCTGTGTTATCACGTTGTTTCTTCATCACAAACAGACCGGGAGTTTTGTTGTGTTTCATTCACACGTTTAACACAGTTTAATCTAATTTAGTTTAATCTATTTTGGTCCTAAAAAGTTACACAGTGGACTTTGTGCTTTTGTCTGCTCTATAAGAATAATCAGTGACAATTATTTGGATATTTTACATGACATTATTGATCTTAAACAATCTGTGTATCATTCGTTCATTTGTTTTTCAAAATAAAACCAAAATTAAGGAAATGAAAAAACAACTATTTTCTTCATTATTTGTCTCCAAAACCAAAATGAAAAAACAGATAACGATTAGATTTTTTCAGTTTTCGATTTTGTGTTTAAATGAATAATGGGGGGAAAAAAAATGATAACGGTCGTTTCCTGTTTACGGACTTAAACTGCGATGTCGGATTGAACCAGGACTGAACCAGGACTAAACCAGACCGGGACCAGACCAGACCAGGACTGAGACCAGGACTGAGACCGAGACCGAGACCGAGACTGAGACCGGGACTGAGACCGGGACCTGGACTGAGACCGAGATGGAGATGAGACTGGGACTGGGACTGAGACCAGGACTGAGACCAGGACTGAGACCAGGACCAGACGGTGACTGAAACCTGGACTGAGACCGAGACCGAGACCAAGACGAGACTGGGACTGGGACTGAGACTGGGACTGAGACCAGGACTGAGAACAAGACCAGACGGTGACTGAGACCTGGACTGTGAGCAAGACCGAGACCAGACCGGGACAGAGACTGGGACCAGACCAGGACTGAGACCAGGACCGAGACCAGGACCAGACTGTGACTGAGACCGGGACTGAGACTTGGACCAGACCAGGACTGAGACCAGGACTGAGACCAGGACTAAGACCAGGACTAAGACCAGGACCAGACTGTGACTGAGACCGGGACTGAGACTGGGACCAGACTGTGACCGAGACCGGGACTGAGTCCGAGACCGGAACCAGTCTGGGACTGAGAACAGGACTGAGACCGGGACTGAGACTGGGACTCAACCAGGACTGAAAACGGTTTAGTCCTGTTTCAGTCCGTATGTGGCGCAAAAGTTCCGCATCAAAGTTTAAGTCACGGAAACGGGAAACGGCCTTTATCAGTTTTTTTTTTTGCCATTATTCATTTAAACATAGAAACAAAAACTGAAAAAAATTATCATTATCTGTTTTTACATTTAATATTCAAATTATAAAATTCAAATAATGAAAAAAATAGTTTTTTTCATTTTCTTATTTTTGGTTTTATATTGAAAAACGAATGAACGAATGACACAGGAATTTAAAACCACTCTACTGACGTGAATTCTAAATGACAAAGTGAAAAAAGTGAACAGTGGATTCTTTTCACAACACGTCCAATCGAGAGGCCCCTGTGAGAACCGTCACGGTGAAAAACAGAGAAAGAAAAAGAGAGAGAGAGAGAACTACATACGAAGAGGTTTGATCCAGGAGCAGAGCTGAGAGGAGATGCCAAGGCGTGGAAAAGTGACGGTGCTTTGGGAAAGACAATGCCCTCATCCTCCCCGAACTCTGCCAGGGTCTTAAGCAAGTCCGGGGGCAGCAGAGGAGACGACTTAGTGGGGTCCTGGCCCAGCAGAGAGGAGAAGAAAAGAAGAAAAAAAAAAAAAAAGGGGGAGAAAAAAAAGGGAGGAGGGAGAGCAGAGAAAAGCAAAAGCGTTGAAAAAAGTGAAGAGCTAAGAAGCAATAGGTTCTATAGAAGTTTATAGAAGTTTTGTGTGTTTGATGTTTTACTTCATGGGTCAGTTGTTGTTTCCTTTTTAACGAAAAAAATCTGTAATCTTTTGCCTTACTTACCTCTGCAATTTGGGTTAGAAACGTAAATTAAAGATAATAAAAGAGCTTAAAAGTCTGCTCTATAAATGTGAAAATGTTTCTAAACTCCAATCGCAGCAGAACGTTCCTCCAGATCCCAAATTTTATCATTAACTTTTCTTCAACTTTTTACCACAGAATGCCACGTAACTGAAGTACTACATCAAAAACCATTAAAATATATGCCATATATGTACTTTAAAGGGTTCAGTATCGGTACTAGTTAAGCTTGTCACAATAATGAATACTATCGTTCAGTTTGTTAGATGGAACAATCATTTTTGGGGTCAGGATTTATTTTGGTGGCTTTTTCTTTGCACTAGTTTGCACTAGAACTTTTCATTCTGTTTCTGTTATACAATAGGATTTAAGAGTAGGGGTCCAATACGTAACTTCTATGACTCATTAGATACAAACCAACTACTCAGCAGATTCATTCTGTTAGTCTGTGTTTTTGAACCATATTATACATTTTCAATCCTTTTTTGAGTTATTCTATGTTAGTGGCATGAACCCATTTCAATATTATCGTTTATCGTCTACATTTTCTTCAGCAATACATCGTACTTCAAAATGTGTTATCATTACATCCCTAATGGAAAAATGGAAAATAGAGGTACTAGGGGTGTAATTGTACATGTATTTGTGCCAAACCGTTTCGGTATGGGATGTTTGTTTCGGTGCAGGGCTGTGCACAAGTGAATTCGTGCAATTTGTGTGTGTTTACATTTGGCCACGACATGTGCAGCTCCACAGAAGGCTCGGCTCTTTAATATTCACGAGGAAACTCGTCCGTGATTGGGGAGTCAGTGTTTCTTTATAGTTTAGCTTTATAGTTTTTTTAAAGCTATAGTATAGCTTTATAGTTAGGGTAGCAATATTTGAACTGGAACTGTTAGTACTGCGCTTTACTTTTTGAAAAAAATGGTTTAATGTTTACAAGTAATTTATTTTTATAATATTTCATACATTTGTTGCATATTTGAGAATATTTTATTTAACTTATTAATATTACCAAGCAACACATTGCATTTATTTTATTTTCTCGTTCGTATGATGTTAAAATAAATTGTTGGTTTAATAAAAACACAAACAAACAACCATCAAATGGTTTTGCACTGCACCGAAAATAAACCTAACCGTGACCTCAAAACTGAGGTCTGTACCGGACGGTGATTTTTGTACCGTTACACCCCCAGGAGGAGGAATGGATTTGTGAAGCACAATACTAGTCAGAGGAGTCACCTGGAAGGGCAGAGCTCTGGGTCCCTCCTGCTCCCGCTCCCTCCTCAGGCGCTCCAGCACGGCCTGGTTACTGGAGTACTTCCACATCTCCTGGGACAGGCTGGAGAACTTGTCGAGGCCGGGCCTGGAGGGTTGAGGGTCAAACTTCAAGCTGGGCTCTGGGGGCATGAACAGGGACTGCTGCTGCTGCTGCAGAGGCTCCTGGGGCTTCAGGGGAAGTTTGGAGCCAGAACCTGGGTTCCACAGAGGAGGCGACTGCTCCTGGAGGAACTGGACCGACGTGGGAAAAAGGACAAGACAGAATCAAGAAGACGTCAAAACAAGACATGATGGAGTGGAGACTTAAATGAAACGCACACATGTTTTGAGCCATGTTTGTTGAGTTGTTCCATAGATTTTGTTTTTTTCTGTCATTTTTGTTGAGGCATCTTGGAGTAGGGATGGGCATTCGGTAAAATTTTCTTAATCGATCGTCAGTAGAATTAACTATCGATTTTCAATTAATCATTAACATTTTTATATTAATGTGGTCATCATTATTATCACTAATACTAATCTCCATAAATAAACTCAACTTTACAACATATAAATCATAACCACTCTAGAGCCACATCAGCCCGTTTGAGATGATAATGTGTTTAATGCAGCTTTGACATATTTGTTCATGTTTTACAGAAACAAAAATTAAATCTGCATGGCTAATTTGAGATTTACAATTTATGCTTACAAAATATGATTGACAAATATGTACGGGGAAAAATATTACAGATTTTTACAGAGATTAACTACAGCGTTAGCCATTTTTATGCAGAATAAGGCAGAATGATTTGTAAAGTTTGTGGAGAAAATGTTGGTAAATAAAGGGTATTACACTTCGGTGGGGTATTAACAGCTAACACATATCACCATGTTACCTTTTATTGTTTTGAAAATGCTATATTCACCGAAAGCAACATGTTTTCTAAGTTTTGCTTTTGTTTTTGAGGCTGTGAGTCACTCCCCGGTCAGATGACTATCACAATACAATAAGCAAGAAGTTGATTTTGCACATAAAAACGCAGCCTTTGCTCCTCTGACTGCTGTGGCGTGTCTCTTATCAGCATATCTGAATTTTCTAAACATAAATGAGCATGTGTAGAAAGATGAGAGGTACCTGCTGTAAGGCCAGGTGAGGAGGACTCTTGCCCAGCGTGACCTGCTGCGGAGGGGGCTGCTGTAGAGTCTGCTGCTGCTGCTGGCTCATGGGCGCGGGTCCGGGGGCCTGGCTCTGCCCCGCTGAGGCCGGAGAGCCCTGAGGGGGAGAGCGCTGCGGGGTGTACGGAGGGTGGGACGATTTGTTGGGCTGAGGGGGCGCCTGCGAGAGGAAGTGCCCGGGCATAGTCACGGGCCCCGGGGAGAAGGTGAAGCCGGGGAACGGGACAGAAGGAGTGAGCACGTAGGCTGAAGGAGGGAAGCCTGCAGGGACACACGCAAACATTACAAACATTACAAATGAGACATGCACAGTATAATCAACCAACATCTAAGGCTACGCTTACACTGAAACTAATCACCGTATCGGAAACAATCTGCGTCCAGACACGTCGTTTCTGTGTCCGCAAGTCTTCCCTATCCACACACCTTTGAGCATATTTGTTTACGTTTTACAGGAACAAAACTTAAAAATCACATGGCTAATTTGCATAAACTGAGCGCTCAAAAAACAGCTCACTACTGTGCGCTGATGCGGTTCAGCTTCTGTCGGACTAAAGGACGCGACTCAGTGGAATACGAGTGTTTTTTCTGTATCAGAGCGATGTTCTGCTGATGGTGAGTCTGCTCTGTGATTCTTCGGGTTGGAGATGGTTCATGTTAAACTTTTCAGAGATTTTAAGTCTGCAGGTCATACACATAGACCGTATACCGTATTTTCCGCACTATTAGACCATTCAATGACTAAATCCAGAGCGCCTATTTTCAAACTTTTTTCACAAATAAATTGCACCGGACTTTATAGGAAACACAACAGTGTGATGGGTCAATGGTTTTGTTTGTTTGTGGCGTTCACGGTGACTCTGGGCTTTGTTCAGTTGTGGCGTGTAGGGAGGGTGCTGTCTGGGACCGCTGGATTGTCGGCGTATTCGCAGTGACTCAGTTGTTCAGTCGTGTCTAGAAGTGGCACATTGCGCTCGCTTTTTCGGTTCGTTCCTCCGTTCCGTTCCTCGTCGGCGTGGAGCGATGAGTGTGGCTGCGGGTGTTTTTCGCCGCGTGGTCGCTGTCTGCTCCGTGTGTGTTTGTGTGTGCTGCGGCTTTGTAGTTTACTGAAGTCGTGCTGTGACACCCGAGTGGATTCGTGTATAGGGCGCTCTGGATTGTGGGGCGCGCAGTCGTTTTTTAATGGGGTTAGAAGCTTAAGAGCGCGCCCTATAGTGTGGAAAATACGGTATATGAATGGACATATATTCTATTCTCTTAGCTTTTTAGCAGTGAATTACTTCGCGGCGCACAGACCTACATCAGCGTGTTTTCAGACTCAAATGAATTTGTGGGAGCTGGCGGCACCAGATCGTTCCGTCTCTGGAGCCATTTTCAATCGGATTAGTGTGAACAAACACTGCATCTACAACAAAAACAACTCAAATATGTACTAGTGTGGACGGGTTTTTAATCTAAGACACTCACCTGGGCAGCCGTGCAGTGGGGGAAAGGCCCCCTGGTGGTGGATGTGCACAAACGGCGACGTGGAGCCGGTGGGCTGTGTGGGGGGCCCCGGGCTCTTCTTCACTTCAGACACTTCAGGAGTCTTCCTCATCTCTGTCTGCACTTTCATCTGAAACACAGCGTCAACAGAGATGAGACCAACACGCACAAACAGCAAGGAGACTTAAAACACTAAATCCCTCTGAAAGATGCTTTTGGATTTCACATTGTTAACTTGAAATAACGTATTTAGAAAAATACACTTTATGAATTCCACCTGTTTTCAAAAAGGTATTTAAGTGTTTGAGCTCCCTCCCTTCTGACAGCAATGGCAAAGTTAACAAATAAGCCAGAAAAGCAAGTCACACCTGCAAGCGACAATGAAGGGCCTGTAGTTTGGTCACATACCTCAAATTTGTAGGCACACAAATTCATTATGAATAATGAATAATAATATGAACAAATAGACTTAGGGACAGCTTCTTTCCCAAAAGTGTCACCATAGTAAACTCAAGTTTGCACTGAGAACTGTTAAAGGTTGTATGGAGGATTTTTTTTTTGTTTCAAGTTGTCAATGATAGCATTATAGACAGTAGCCTTGTAATTATGATGACCAAAAAAAGAGAATAAAAATTCATCAACTCTGGACATGGTGGGGCTAAAATTTGCCAATAGATAACGACACTGCCTCGTTATCTGTGAGCTGACAGGCTGTCAATCAATCTCCCTACGTTTCTAGCGTAACACTTGCCTGCGCCGCCGGTACGTGATTTACGTACGTCTGTCACGCAGTCCACAGACGCAAGCCGCACAGACGCTGTTTACTCCACCAACGCAACACTTCTTAGCGGCTTTTTTTGACCTATATCTTCCTCGCAGTTTGCACAAGTTTGTTGCAATGGTGACAAGAATCCAGGAGCAGTAGCCGCAAAAGAAAGTCCGTTTTTGAGGTCGCTGAAAGAAGAAGACAAGGGGAAAAGCAGCGAAGCCAAACTAAGGTGATTCTTGAAGATTCATTCCAGCGATGGCGCGACTGAAGCAGACGAAGGTTTAAAGACTGACGCACTGGTCACAAATTACTCCTGGACAAGTCACTTCTGCTTATTATGAAAACGTACTTTATTTCCAAGAGCTAGTCAAACGTTTTTCAGGACACGAATACGATATCCTATGTCTGAAAACGTAATTTTCAAGGCAAAGAAAGAGTCCGCTTGCTGCTGCGTGTTGTAGCTAGTTCATTCGCACTGAATCTCCGCGACCCTTCTCTGCACCCCTTTCCTGCTCCTGTCCCCGCTGCCCGTTCCGCTCTTCCCCCCGCTCCTCACTTCTCCGCCTTGCCTAACCAACACTGTAGTTAGTTGTTTACAAGTCATGTGCAGCGCACCGGCTGTAAACAAACCTGTTTCTGGCGTAAAAGAGGACGGAGGAGGCATTTCTACGTAGGGAGCTGTAGGGAGGGGGGTGGTTTCACGCATGCGCACATTTGAAAAAGGACAAACAGTCGCTGATTTCTCGTTCCTTGGAAAATCCTCTATACAACCTTTAACTTGCACTGTCAATGCCTACGTTACCAGTACAATTTTAATGCTACTAACCACTTTAGTCATTTTAGTATAAAGTCTGTTTTACTGGTATGTGTCTGTCTGTCTGTATGTCTGTGTACCTGTGGTGGGGTTAACACAAGTTTTATTGTATTTGTGTAGTAGTTAGTAGTCAAAGCAGTTTTAGTTTTATGATATTATTATATTTTTTTATACTGCGCTGTGTGCACTCTGAAGGAGCAGCTCTACATCTCATTACACTGTGTATAATGACAATAAAGGCTTTCTATTCTGATTCTGTTCTATTCTATTACAATTCCTCTCCTTAATTTATAACCAGTCTGACTTTAAAATTAATTATTCGTTTTATAAAATGATTAAATAAGATATGATTTTACTTATAAAATGTAAAAAGGTTTAAAACACTTTGCAAACTGGTATTTTAAATAGAGTTTGCAACTTCAGTTCTTAGTGCACATTTTAAACGTGTCCAGGAGCATTGGGATTTGAGAGCAGATAAAAATAAGAAGTGCTTAATCCAAGAATCCCATGCGCTTCTCAGCACGTTTGTAGAAGCTTTAACACGTAACAAAAGCCAGTGGATGCAGTTTGGCTGTTTGGTCTTTGTGAAAATACAAACTAAAATATTGTTTCTTGATATCGATGTGTTATTGACAGTTTGTAGTGACGTCACACATGTACATAACACACATTGTATAAAGCAGGAGGGCATTACCTGTTTGGAGTCAGAAGTCTTCTCGTGCGTGCTCTTCTTCATCTCATTCTTCTTCTTGTTGTCACACTTGGTGTCGACCTTGGCGGCTGCAGTGTTCCCCTTGCATATGTCCCTCCTCTCTTTCATGGGCTCCTTGACGGGCTCCTTGGCGGGCTCCTTGGGCAGGGAGCGGGGCGCGTCTCGGCTGGGCTCGCGGGGCTTCTGGTTCTCTTTGGAGGTCTTGCCCTGGGACATGGAGGACTTGAAGCTACTGGACTCTGTCTGGCTGGGCTCGCTGTTGGAGGACTCCTGGAGCACCTCCTTCTCCTGGGGCTCATCGATGGGCAGCTCGGGCAGGTCCGTGAGGAAGGTGAGGAGGCCGTCTTCAGACACGCGACACTGCATGAGCCTGGACACAGCAGAGCAATGGAGCTAAGCAGAGGAGCCTCAAATACAGCAGTAAAAGCCTGAAGGGACCAACTATCAAGTCTAGATTTTTTTGTGTACCAATAAAAAATCATCCACGTGTTTCTTTAAAAAAAGTGAACATTTTAAAACCACATTATAACTTTTTTTTTTTCATTTTGGTGATGTTAATTGCACTGAGACAAGTGAAACAACATGCAGCCTTGTATCTCCAGGCTTGTATCTCCACAAACCCGACTCTTATTTGGTTTCCGTGGAAATCTTGTCCCTTTGGTTATAGTCTACCACAGTATGGAATAGGATTAGGCAATATGGCAAAAACAAATTAAATATAGATTTTTTTGTACACTCTAGACGATTATGATTTTGATATATTTAATATCAAAACATACGGGTAACACATATCCCACTCACTAATGTTCATGTAGCATCATAACTTATTTTATCACACGATGATAAACTATTTGAGTGCACTGACAATATCACGAGCTAGTGTAGCACCTTCATGTGAACCCTAGATACATGTGTAACCGCACAGAGAGCAGCATTTTCTGCACTCAGGCTGCACGTATCCACTGTGTTGCCAAACCATAGACCGTATTTATAAATGGACAATGTGCCAAACAAAGAATCCATCCATATATTCGCCGCATCATTTTATTAGCCGCCGAGATCAAAGTGTGAGAAAAAAGTAGAGGCTTATACTCCAGAATTTATGGTAATCTAATTTTAAGAGTACATGTATTTGTAATAGAGTAGATTTTAGCTGTAAAAGAACATATTTAGAATTCTTTCTGGTGCTGTCTTTAAAAAAAGAACAAAAAAACAAACCCTCTCTTAAAGATCCTCAAGACTGTAGTGAACAGAATCTCTGGAAACCCTTTAGTGGTAAACTGACAATAATCTGACTAAACAAGAGCTGAGGCAGAGCTAGAGTAGAGCTTACAGAGGCTGTGTGTCTGCGATCCATTTGCCCAGGCAGACCAGGCGCTGGTGTCTGGTGTGCAGCGCCGCCTGGTGGCCTTTAGTGAAGTCCAGCATGCGCAGAGCGGGTCTCAGAGCCAGGAAGCCCTGCAGCTCAAACTCCTCAGGCAGCGGCACCACTGTGGGCAAGAGGAGAATCATGACTGACTGCAGGTGCGGGGAAAGTGGCAACCCAAATGTGAGTCCCATGAAGCTCATTCTGCTTTCTGAGTGCACAATCATCTTTAGAATCCTTAAAATCAAAACATCAAATTATAACATGAACAAGTTGATTGCTGAATTGTTGGAAAATCGTACCTGAAGAACAAGACACGTCCTCTTCTTTGGGTTGAAAGCCGTTGAGCAAGGACACGAGCCAGGGCCAAACACTGCAACGACAGACACAGATGACTCCTTACATGCACCTTTAATGATGCTGAGAGTAAACTGAGAAGCCCTAGTGTGTGTGTGTGTGTGTGTGTATGGTGCACTCACTGTTGTCTCTGGTGCACGGCTGCCTGGTGGAAGAGGCCGGGCCGCAGACGGAGCCAGTCCAGGGACACTTTGATGGCGGGCAGGGGGCACTCTCCCATCTGCTCCTCGCTCTCAGACTGGTTCAGGATGGCTCTGCTGCACATCACTCCCAAGAAGGACACTGAGAACAACACAAAAAACAACTCAGACTTGTGGTGAAATCCTGGGAAGCTGATTATTTATTCACTAGTAGAGCATTAGAACAGTTTTTTTTTCTTTATATCGATACTTGATATGAACAGATGCCAGTGTAAGGACAGAAAATGGCACTTATTTCCTTAAAACTCAGTTCACTTATTAGAAAATATTCCCAATTGTTTCATGCAACTGTTATTTATCCTTCAAATAACTAATAAACAGCATCATGTGAATAAAATTTCAAACATTATGAGACATTCTGGGCCAAAATCAGCCAGTAAATAGTCTTATTACATCCAGTTAAAAGCCCAACCAGGATATCGGCTGACATGGCTCTTATAAAATTTGCAATAGATCAGATGTTTTCTGATTAGATAGAGACAGCAGGTCGGAGTCAGATTTTTTTCCACAGACAGAATATACTCAATTAGGAGAAAAAAAAAAAGTTGGGTATTCAGCTTTAAACTCCAAATGCTGCCAGAGTTGAGCTTTAAAGTCAACACAAAAGTGAAAGTGTGTGTGTGTGTGTGTGTGTGTGTGTGTCCGTACTGAAGAGGCTGAGCAGCTGAGTCCAGCAGGTGTGCTGCTCGGAGCCCGGGCTCTGCTCTGTGTCGCTCAGCTCCTGGAGGTGGTGCAGCTCAAACAGATTGATCACAGTCAGGTGCACGAGCTGCTGAGAGCTGAAGGCCTTCTGCAGCATCAGCCTCTGCAAACAACAGACAACAAGGAGCCGTCAGACAAAGACAAGGGCTGCACTTCAATTTAATCAAGATCAACTTAGAGTCACAGGGTTCCCGCTCTTTTTCACTGACAACATTTCAAAACTTTTCCAAGACTTTTTCATGACCTAAAGTGAATTTTCCATGACTTTATGGCACCTTCATGTGTAGAACTGATCAGACTTTTAGGGCTAAATATGAAATGTTAACCCTTTCCACTCATCTTGGTATGGTATTATAGTTTTTTAACATTCAAAATACTGTCAGTGCATTTATTATCGTCTCTTTTAAACAAAAGGAGCATATGTTTGGAAATAATCATACTAGTCTAATGAGAACTTAACAGAACGCTGTAGTTGCATGAAAGACATAAAATTCTATGACTTTTTAAGGATTTCCATGACCGTGGGAACTCTGCAGTCAGTCTAAAGTTCAGTGATCAGCTCAGCTCAGTAATGTCAAACAGACATTTGAGAAACAAAATATGTGCGTTAAAGAGCACCAATTAAAATTCTTTACTAGGGATGTAACAATATCCAAATCTCTCTGTACGATATTATTACGATATGCATCTAGTCGTGTCCTTTAGTCTGACAGAAGCTGAACCGTATCAGCGCACAAGGAGTGATCTGTTTTTTTGAGCACTTAGTTTATGCAAATGAGCCACATGGTTTTAAATTTCATTTCCGTAAAACGTAAACAAATATGTGCAAAGCTGTGTGGATAGGGAAGGCTTGTGGGACACAGAAATGACGTGCCTGGACGCAAATCATTTCCGATACGGTGATTTGTTTCAATGTAAACGTAACCTTAGAGATATACTGATCAAGCAGCCAATGATAACGATACTGTATTACAATATTTCATGTCACAGAATGACACAGAATCATGTTCACACTAGGCCTGGAAAACTAGTTGTGATTCAATAAAAACTGTTTAAGACAAAAAAAAATGTAGGTAGTAAAATGTTCTCTGTTGTGTTTGTTCACATTTGCACAGCAACAGGGGATGAAAATGTGACCAAAAAAACAAAACAAAACAAAACTAGAACTAAACCAGAACAATAACAGGACTAAACTGGGCTCAAATCACATGTGAACGTACCCCATATGTCCCTGTGTGTCCAAGTGGTCTTATTATGTGTAAAACCCTCCATTTTGTTCACCCTGAAATGTTTAACTTGTTTTTTAAAGACTCCATTCTGACCTGAAACTGCTCCTCCAGTCGGCCCCTCAGCGCGTCCAGCTTGTCCACACTTTTACTCAGATAAACATGGCCGTGGAACTTGATGAAGGCTTTAATGAAATCAGACAGGCTCCATTTGGTTTTCACCTCTTCTCGACTAAAAACACACAAACACAACAATTACGTGGCGCATTCAACACGATCTACCGGGCTTGTTTAAAAGGGTACGAGCGAGGCACCTCTCCAGGGCCTTGGACAGCGCCTTCTGCAGGTTGGTGGAGGCGGCGGGGAAGGGGAACTTGACCGCGATGCTGCGACAGTAGTAGAAGATGGTGGTGAGGTGGTCTCCTTTGGACGACGCCAGAATAGCGAGCTGGTTGTAGGGCTGACCTGGAAGAGCACAGGAACACGGAACGATATTATCACGATATGCTTCTCACAGTACGATATTTACTGCGATATTTTGAAGAGGCTGATATAATTGTAGATAGGACACGTTTCTGCTTTTAAAATACCTTGACAAGATTTTGGTGTGAATTATTCCCATCATAATCCCAAGAGTTCTAGTAAAAAACATATTTCTTCATGTTGTCTGCGCTGAAATGAATCATGGGAGATGTAGTTCCCGGTGTTTATAAGCTGTTTCTACTGTAAAACCATGCATTTAAGCAAAGGAACTTGTAATTTGATATATTGTGACAGCTCACGATATTATTGTGAGACTTTTGATGATACGATATCACAATATTTCAGTTATTGTTACATCCCTAGTGTTTAGGCCAAATAGATTATGCTCATTGTGCTGTCGGCTCCTCCTTTGAACAGCTACAGATCACACAAGCAAGTAATGTGTTTGTTTTTTTCCATTTGTACCAAGACGATTACGTATCACTGATTGATAAAATTTGAGAAGGAAATGTGTAATCACAATCTAGGTGAAAACAGAGATAGATCAGAGTAATGATGTCTTGAATACAGGAAAGTAAAGATTACAAATCACTCTAAATACTGTCAAGGGTGGTGCCACCCAGTGCCTCCGCTCAATGTCATTTCTCTCCAGCGACTAGGTCAGGAATCAGAATACACTAGACCACAGGTGTCAAACATACGGCCCAGCTCAGCTGATTTTCTACTAAAATATTTTAATTATATTTTCTATTAAAATATTGCTAATTTTCTGTGGTGTTTATCATATCAGCGTCTCCAGTGTCTCTGTACGTGGCCCCTCCCACCAGAGCAGCACAAATGAAGACTTGTCTCTTTCCAAACGCTCTTAAAGGACGATCGTTTTGACTGTTGACCATGACACCCTCATCAGAAAATTGTCCAACATGAGAAAAGTGGAGCCGAGTGCAGGATTTTACAACAAAAATTTACTCATTCCTATTTACATACAAGTTCATGTTAAAACATTGTGTTGAAATTGAAAATTTTTTTAATTTTTAATATTAATATTTTGTAAAAGAAAGAGTTCATCAGTTAAAAAAGATTTCTGTAATAGATTTGTGTTTCTCTGCACATATATTTAAACTTATTGTTATTTTTGGGGTTTATATGACATGAGTTTTCTGATCCGGCCCCTTTTGGATTAAAGTAGGTTGGATATGGCCCCCGGAACAAAATGAGTTTGACACCCCTGCACTAGACGGTTTGCAAGAACCCCGGAAGTTGTAGACCGCGCACCGGCCAATCAGCGAAGAGTCAAATATTCTGTGTTGGCAACGATTCCCGAGATCAAAGATTTAAAGCCGGAACAAAGAGAATGTTTGGTGAATCAAGGAGAAAGACGTTATTGCCCTTCTTCCTACCTTCCTCAATCAGGAACGTGATGCTGCCCAATCCTTCTCCAGTGTATCATTGATTAATAAAACTGGATATGGAAATGTGTACATTACCTTGATTCATCATCAGCCGGTTAGAATTTGTTCGCTCGATGGTAGGCGAGTTTAACCAGTCGCTGCTGTTTGGTTGTGTCGTATGTAATGCACCACTAACCACTAACTGGTATATTAAGTTTTTCCCAAATCCCATAGGAAAAAGGGCAATAACGTCTTTCCCCTTGATAAAATTCACCAAACATTCTCTTTGTTTCAGCTTTAAATCCTTAATCTCGGGAATCATTGCCAACACTGAATATATGACTCTTCCCTGATTGGCTGGTGCCCGAACTCGCACTTCCGGGGTTTTTGTGAACCGTCTAGTTTATTCTGATTCCTGACCTAGTCGCTGGAGAGAAATTAAATTGAGCGGAGAGACTAGATGGCGCTAGTGTACGTCACAATGGAGGTGAAAACAAAGGTAGATCAGAGCAACGACGTCTTGAATACAGGAGAATAAAGATGACGAACCACACTAAAATACAACTTCAGAGGATAAATGAGAAGGGAAACAACTAAAACACGGTCGAAAGCTCTGAAAAGTGGATTTTGCACAATAGGATTTTAATCAAGTTTATTTTTGTGCTCCGTCTCTCTTGGTTTTTCTTTTTCCTTCGGGTTCAAGAACAGCAAATTATATTATCTAGGCAAGGGACTGGCAGTACAATTAGAAACTAGACAAGTCAAAGAAGCCAGGATTTGGAAAAAAAAGAGAATTGAGACAAGGATGCACTAAGAGAAAAGAGCTGGAATTACAATACATTAAAACCTTTAATTAAACATGTTTATTATGTTTTGTTACAGCTTTTATACTATCAGAGTCTACAGATTGGCTTGAGTTTACTTGTTTACAATGCAGTTTACATTGACATAGACTGATATATAGATTGGCCAATATATAGGGCTGATATTTGCAGTTTTTAGCGTATCGTGTGTCAGCTTTAACTAAAGACCAGCTGCCTAAAGAATACACATAAAGCTTTATTTGAATGCTTTAGTCCCAAGAGAATATTGTGTCAAATACGACTGCGCTGCTTACAGAAATCCCGTGGGTTTGTCAATCTCTGGATTCCAAGAAATCGGTTTTGGCATCCACATACGTTCGATCTCTTAAGACTCACCATTAGAAGGCACCAGCTGAGCGGCGTGTCTGTAGTACGATTCTGCCTGGCTCGTCTGGTTCCGGTAGCGAGCTGGAAACGAGGCAGAGTTCAGATGAATGCTTTCTCAAACTGTAAACTCAGCTCTACACATTAAACTAAAAAAAATCCAATGTTCATATTATTTGTGGACTGTGGACACTGCATTATTGTGACATTAACCAATATAAACTGTATGAGGTTTCTCGAGCTAAAGCCGTAGCACTAATAGATATAAACACTAATGTAAGGAACGACACAATTTTACTATTATTCATGATTACTGACACCATGACCAAACTACAGTGAAATCCTCAATTCTGTTGTTTAATAGAGTCTTCTGGAAGTCCAACTTTCTGAACGATGAAGTTAAGGTGTTGGCACTTGGAGACATATCCTAAATCTTGCCGATATGGGCCGATATTCCATGTGGGCATGTTATACCTCGTTATAAAGCTTAAACTCTCTATATTATGTCAGTTTATTCCAATTTACAGACAGATAAATGTCCTAATATGTAGTGCCGCATCAGTATTTAACTGTGGAGTAATTTGTCGGTGTTTGTGACGCCATACTGCCCCTGAACGCACCCCCAGAGTCACGTCGTACTGCCCCTGAACGCAGTCATGTCACGTCACACACACACAGCTGCTATGGATTATATTAAATTTACGGAGGATTGTTTTGAGTCAGTATTAAAAGGACACTTATTAGACTTGTGTATTAAGACTTGTGATCTGAGAGGAGCCTGTGTGAGCGGTGAGTGTTGCAAATTTGACGGTTTTGGAGCTACTTTTGATTCTTTTTCATAGTTTAGCTCTTAGCTGCTGTAGCTCCCACACATAAACAGCCTTTTTTTCTTACACTGGCCCATAGTGGCTGTGCACGCGTTATTGGACCTGAATTGATATGTAGATCAACTGTGAATAGAAGTGTGAATGATCGGCATTTACGCATATAATTAATTACCGGTAGTTTACTTACTTTTTTTTACTGGCGAGAATGTCATGCAAAAATGCCATTACGTCGACCTACTGTCTTTAAATTTACTGTAATTCTGCCTCTTTACAGTCAAACAAACCCAATATAAAATCGAGTAGAGCCAAACCTAAGTTTTATAATCAACTGAAGATTTATAGTGATTTTTTTACATCCCTAACTATATCGGCAGCTCCAACTCCCATTTTATCGTTATCATATCGGCCGCAAAAACATCCATATCAGGCGAGCCCTACCATAGATTCTTACTGAAGACATCAAACTACGAATGACACATACCAACACTACAGCAAACAAAAATAAACCCAAAAAGAATGTTTTTTTCCCCCACACTTCAGGTTCCTGTGATAGTGCAGTCTGTCAACGTACCGATGTCTCCCAGGTGGACGAGGCAGTGCTGGCAGATGTAGAAGCAGGAGCTGGTCTGTGGGGTCACTATGGCGCTGCTGCTGTGGGGCGAGGAGCTGAGGATGCCCAGCTGTGAGGAGCGCACGCGACACGGCAGATCCACGTGGAACACTGTGCACAACTCCTGCAGCATCTACACAAACAAACAAACACACAAACAAACAGTTACAATTAGGTGAAGGGAAATAAGAGTGCAACTTTATTTGGACTGATGGATTTTGAGCGTACAGCAGAACATTTTCACCTTTTGTTTATTTTTTTACAAATAATGGTACAAAAGGGAGAACAGATGTATCTCGTAACATCTAAACAGCAAAGTGAAAACGATTTAAACAACGCTGCAACCACAGACTGTATAAAGAAGTCGACTAAGGGAGTGTGACGTTACCTACAGCGTTCAGCTCCAGTCAAATGAAGCTCATGAGGCCAGCGGTTATATGAGTGAATTTGGAGCCAGTTCCATATTAGGAATTTATTTACAGACAAAAGAGCAAAATATAAACATCAGGGTCATGTAGAGTGAGTTAATACTAAGATTTTAAAGACCAAAATGACAAGGCTCACAGCAGCACTTAGAGAGAGAGGAGTGACAAGTTTTCAATGTAAAGTCAATTGGTGCCAGAGTCGATGAAGCCGGAAGCGCCGCCATGCTCACTCACACATGACTTCATATTTTAGTATAATAATAATGTAGTATAAGTATGCACACACACATTTAGAGACAGCCTTATGTGGTGGTAATTTCACTCTGTACAGTGATGCAAACAGGAGTCTGTATTACAAAGTACAGGAATTAGTTTTGAATTGAATCTAGTGGCTTAAAGGTTGTATAGAGGATTTTCCAAGGAACGAGAAATCCAGCGACTGTTTGTCCTTTTTCAAATGTTGCCCATGCGTGAAACCACCCCCCCTCCCCTACAGCTCCTACGTAGAAACGCCTCCTCTTTACGCCAGAAACAGGTTTGTTTACAGCCGGTGCGCTGCACATGACTTGTAAACAACTAACTACAGTGTTGGTTAGGCAAGACGGAGAAGTGAGGAGCGGGGGGAGCGGGTGTGCGGACATTTCGTTCGCGGACGAGAAGTGAGGAGCAGGGAGAGAGGAGAGGAGAGAGGAGAGGGGAGAGGAGAGGGGAGCGGTGCGCGGAGATTCCGTGCCCGGAGAAGTGAGGAGCAGGGGGAAGAGCGGAACGGGCAGCGGGGACAGGAGCAGGAAAGGGGTGCAGAGAAGGTTGCGCGGAGATTCATCCGTGCGAATGAACTAGCTACAACACGCAGCAGCAAGCGGACTCTTTCTTTGCCTTGAAAATTACGTTTTCAGACATAGGATATCGCTTTCGTGTCCTGAAAAACGTTTGACTAGCTCTTGGAAATAAAGTACGTTTTCATAATGAGCAGAAGTGACCTGTCCAGGAGTAATTTGGCGACCAGTGCGTCAGTCTTTAGACCCTGCGTCTGCTTCAGTCGCGCCATCGCTGGAATGAATCTATAAGAATCACCTTAGTTTGGCTTCGCTGCTTTTCCCCTTGTCTTCTTCTTTCAGCGACCTCAAAAACGGACTTTCTTTTGCGGCTAACTGCTCCTGGATTCTTGTCTGCCATTGCAACAAACTTTGTGCGAAATGTGAGGAAGATATAGGTCAAAAAAAGCCGCTAAGAACTGTTGCGTTGGTGGAGTAAACAGCGTCTGTGCGGCTTGCGTCTGTGGACTGCGTGACAGGCGTACGTAAACCACGTACCGGCGGCGCGCAGGCAAGTCAGTTACGCTAGAAACGTAGGGAGATTGATTGACAGCCTGTCAGCTCACAGATAACGAGGCAGTGTCGTTATCTACTGGCAAATGTTTAGCCCCACCACGTCCAGAGTTGATTAATTTTTATTATTCTCTTTTTTTTGGTCATCATAATTACAAGGCTACTGCACCTCTATAATGCTATCATTGACAACTTGAAACAAAAAGAAATCCTCCATACAACCTTTAACACTATGCCAAATGTCTAGATTTTGACATATACATGTATTATACTCATTTTATTAGACAGTTAAAACATGTAACTTTACATCAGTATTACTTTCAGGTGGGAGAAATATGTGAAAGGGACAGACTCAGGTCAAGTCATGTGATCGAGTCTCCCACCTCTGCAGGAATTCAATGGACTGTTTCTATTATTAAGCCAAGATTGCAATTCAGAGTGAACAAAATATCAAACCAACACAAATACCCTGGATAAAAACACTTTAAAAATGTGTTTTCTTTCATTAACAACACTAAAACACGTCTATCTTCACTGTCATGACACCACTTGAACCACTTGAGTCCATTCCGCTTGAGGCTGTGGGACCCACCTGAGTGTAGAAGCCACTGGCCGCCTCCAGGAACAGAGACAGGTTGGCCTGCACCTCGCTGCGGTTGGGGTTGGCGCGGTTCTTGGCCTGGCTCTGCAGTGTGGTGATCTGGTTCTTGAACGCATGGTTCCACCTAAAACACACACACAAGCGTCTATTAGTGGTAGAACTTTGATTAAGTAGAAATAATTACAAGAATACACAAAAAGGTCCTTTGCTATGTTGCTATTTTGAAATAGGTGTTGTATTTTTATGCATCATAAAGCTCGTATCCTTGTATTTTATTATGAAAACTATCAGCTTGAGAGCGAGATCTTCACTGTGATTGGTTAGATCCTCTTGTCAGTCTCTCACCAAGAATGAGAAGGGTGGGGAAAAGTGTCGAGTGTGGATATGAAGCTCAACAGTGATCACCCACCCCCCAATTTCACAGGAAACATTCCCATTTATTTTCTTATAAGATTCCCAAAAAATATATATATATTAAAAATATGAAAGCTCAGTGTAAAGCTACGCAGTGACTAATGACCATAAGACCTGTCATTATTTCAAATCTGTTTCTAAAACTTTATAAACGTAATAAAATTTTACATTTAACCCAATCAAACTTGTCTTTTGTACTTAAACCATCCATCCATCCATTTTTTTCCCGCTTATCTGGGGCCGGGTCGTGGGGGCAGTAGTCTAAGCAGGGACTCCCAGACTTCCTTCCTTCAAGACCCCGAGGTGTTCCCAGGCCAGCCAAGAGACATAGTCCCTCCAGGGTCTTCCCCGGGGCCTCCTCCTGGTGGGACATGCCCAGAATGCCTCCAGAGGGAGGCGTGCGGAGGCATCCGGAACAGATGCCTGAGTCACCTCAGCTGGCTCCACTTGACCAACTAATATGTGGTATCTCATGTCTGTGTTATAAATATTAGCTGGTTTGGCCTCCACAGAGCCTTTGAACTCTAAATATTTTAATTTTGTTTTAAGTCTATGGGGAAAATGACTGGAAAATTTACTTCTGGAACCAGAGTGGACTTGGAAATGGGTGCGACTGTTGATCTCAATAGAACTGCATTATACAGAAGTAGTCCATTTCCTCTTTTGTAATTTTTCCGCTCTCTTTCCTATGCTTTACTCTTCCATTAGTTCCACAAAGTTACTTCTGTTGCTCTGTATCAGCGTCTTTTGTATGGTAATAAAAAAAACTGAAACACTGATTTAACATATGACAATATCATGAAAATGGGCAAACATAGAACAAAGAAATAGAGTAAAAAAGTTGAAGCACACAAAGCCAGAAAAGCATGGGGCAAACATTAAAGAAGATATTGTGCTTGTAACTGCTTTGAAGTTATAATCTATGACACCCGTGGATCACTATGTTAAAATTTAGACATTTTTAGAAACAATCTTAATCTAAAATTATTTAATAAAAGAAATAAATCCGCTGACTTCTGGGTTAGAAAACTGCAGTTCCAATGGGAGCTGAGGTCGCCGTGAACTTCACCAGGATTCACCAAGATTTTTTTGACTATGCAATGCTGCTGAATTCTACGTGTATCACCAATTAAGAAAAATCTGAGAGGTAAATACAGAGCAGTGGGTGTGTACCAGTGGCATCTCAACAATATGGCGTCTTGAAAATAAGATTAAATAAAGATTAATCTCAAACAAAACCTCAAACATTCACAAATCGCTCTAAATGCAAAGGGAAATGATGAGGGGACACAGCTGTATCATGGTTAAAAGCTCTGAAAAGTCCATTTTGTAGAATAAGTCTGCTTTAAACTTGTGGATGGGGTGAGTGAGTTGAACACGAGTGAAGAGTGCAGTAGGACGATAGACGGTACTCACAGGTCTTGCTCCACCTTCTTGTCCAGAGCGTACTCCAGGTCTGTCACCAGCATCTTCTGATAGACATCCTGTAGGGCCTGCCGCGACGTCCACACCTCCGCCACGCCCAGCTTTGAGTCTGAACACCCGGCAGCACAGTCACAACAAATCAGAGGCACTCGCAGAACTAACACAAGACTAATCCTTCTCACGCCCTACAAATGGTGCTGATACATGTTTTAACAGGCCTATATTACACCGTTCTCTGATCTATGTTTTAATGTTGTTTCCTCGTCATAAACATACCTGGAGTTCTTCTCTCAAACAGAAAACACTCTGTTCCACATCGTGATTTCATGTAGTAATTTCACAGTGCTCCACTTTTTTCACATTTGTTTAATTTCAACCCGGGAATTGCCAATCTCCACTGAACTAAAGATAAAAGCTGTGAAAAAACCTACCACTACATGACATCCCAAGGTGGAAAAGAGCATTTTGAGCTTTGAAGATGAATACACACTAATAATAAATGTGTGAATGAAGGTAAACACAACTCCAGGTCTGTTTTTGAGGAGGTAATAACATTATAACAAGACTTAAAGCTCACAATTCAGTCAATTTTGTGTAATATAGGACCTTTAAAGGGACAGTTCAGAATTTTGGACAGAGGACCTCATTTCCTTGTGAGTGTTGGAGACATGTGGAGACACTTTTTGAAATATTCCATCCAGTCCTTGTTTTTGCAGAGGTCGCTGGTGCTAGACTAGTGCATGTCAACGGTCATAGTTTTCCTGCCACTAAAAACAGTCTTACCCACTCCACAAAACACCCAAAGAAAATCTATTATTACACCAGACTGTCGATGTAAATGTCTGTGTTGATAGAAGAATTTTAGAAGTAAAACCAACCTTGCATTTGAAGGATTTATGTCTGAGCAAAGCTTGGCAGCGGCGGACTGATATATGAGAAAATAGTCCCTCAACATGCGACAATTCATGCAATGCAAGGTTAGTTTTATTTCAAACATTATTCTATCAACACAGACATTTACATCGACAGTCTGGTGTAATAATAGATTTGTTTCAGGTGTTTTGTGGAGTTGGTAAGATAATTATGGCCACTGACATGCACTAGCCTAGCACCAGCGACCTCTGCAAATACAAGGACTGGATGGAATATTTTAAAAAGTGTCTCCACACGTCTCCGACACTCTGGCTCACTAGGAAATGAGGTCTCATGTCCAAAATTCCGGACTGTCACTTTAATAATGATCTCTGTCAATTTAAAAATGGTTTTCAGGAATTATCTTGCAGTATTGTTACTGTGTCAAGGGCATAAAGTTGTTTCAGTATGATTGTTTATCACAGTATATCTCTGTAGCAACATATAAACTATAAAGCTTATCTATCTATCTAATGCTAGTGCTTAAAACATGTTTTATCATGACCAATGCATAGAGCCCAGCACTAAAATGAGACTTTTAAATTGTAGTGGCTAGAGGTGTGCAAAAATATTGAAATATCGATATATTGCATAGTTTATTTTGATGATACAGTATCGATATCATGAGTTGCTGTATCAATATATTGCCAAGAGTATTTTTACTAAATTGTTTTGTGTAAGAGCTATAACCGTGTTCACATTTTCACAGTAAAAGTTTTTCAAATTAACTGCATAAACTCAGTGGACTTTGTAGACTTAATAGACGTTTAGTATCATAGTCATGATTTAGCCTTTGTTTTTTACTGAACGGTATTGAATTGATTTGAAATATATTGCATTGAATCGAAAGTGCACTGTATCGAAAAACGTACCATATCATGGCCTGTGTATCAAGGTATGTATCGTATCAGCAACTTCTTAATGATACCCAGTAGGGGTGTGCAAAAATATTGAAATATCGATGTATTGTATCATTTAATGTGGTGATACAGTATCGATATGTCGTGAGTATAAGAGTATAAGAGAGTAAAAGAGTATTTTTTGGTGTATTTTACTAAATTATTTTGTCACAGCTACAGTTTTGTTGTTTGTTTAGTGGAAGGAAACTCGTTTATGCGACACATTTGACAATTCACTGTTTTTATGATTAAAATGTTTGCGTTTCATATTCACTTTGCACAAGAAGTGGTTTAACAAAGACTTTTAGTATCACAGCAATAATTTAGCCATAATTTTTTATTGAACCGTATCGAACAGATTTTAAATATATTGTACAGAACCGAAAGTGCACTGTATCGAGGTATGTATCGTATCGGCAACTTCTTAATGATACCCAGTAGGGGTAGGTAGGTGCAAAAATATTGAAATATCAATATAGTGTATCATTTAATGTGGTGATACAGTATCAATATCGTTAGCTGGTTTATCGATATATATCGCGAGTATAAGAGAGTAAAAGCGTATTTTTTGATGTATTTTACTAAATTATTTTATGACAGAGCTACAGTTTTGTTGTTTGTTTAGAGACACATTTGACATTTCCACTGTTTTGATGATTAAAATGTTTGCGTTTCATATTCACTTTGCACAAGAAGTGGTTTAACAAAGACTTTTAGTGTCACAGCCATGATTTAGCCTTTATTTTTTTATTGAAACGTATCAAATAGATTTGAAATATATTGTATAGTGCACTAAATTGAGGTATGTATCGTATCGGCAACTTCTTAATGATACCCATCTCTAGTAGTGGCTTGTTCTCGTCTCTGAATATTTACAGGTAATATGTTATATTACATTGACAAAGAGTTATAAAAAAAAAAGTAATAAACTTCTAAATAGGCAGCAATAAAACAAAAAGCACGAGACTGGTGTCAATAAAACAAGATGTAACATGTAATTGTAGACTACGAAAGAGGAAGTGCGTTGTGATTGTGTTTTGCAAGTTTCGGATCTTGTAACTCCAGCTGTGCGTGTGTGTGGTGCTGTGTCACGTGACGGGCCCACTCACCTGCCATGTCAGCCTTCAGGGCCTCTGCCTGTCTGCTCGGGTCCACAAACATGCACAAAAAACACGTCATTAGTGTCCCCCCAAAGAGACTGCACCGCGCGGCATTCCTCCACACAACCCATCCGCTCCGACGTGCACCCATTCACACACGTTTACAGCAGCCACGGCGCTCGTTTATCACACATTTACAAGCAGAGACGAGAGAAAGTGCAGGGTTTGTTTGGGTTTTTTTGGTGGGGGATGAGCACGGGCAGCGTAAAGTGGACTGTACTCAAGCAAGCGTGACACAGTGTACGCAGCTACGTGCTCAAATTAAACAAAATTAAGAGTCGGGAAACGTATGTGTAGGTGTGGTAAAAGCAGGACGACGCTGTGATGACAGAAAACGCCATTTGGAAGAGTGTAAAACGCACGGAAGACGCACTAGCGCGTATTTGTTGATATTAGCAGTTAGCATTAGCATTTAGCAGCGGAACAAAAACAACGCGTGAGCCCGCTGGAAATCTGACGTTTTTCGGGGGAGTTCGGGCGGGTTCGGGTCCGAGTGTCGCGGCTGTGTGCTGCGGGGAGGGGGGCTCACCGTAAGTACTGGGCGCAGAGGTTCATCTCGGCTGCCCGCGGGTGTCAGAGCATCGCCCGGAGACGCGGCTAGCGGCGGAGCAGAGGCGCTAGTGCTACAGCAGCGGCCGCCATGTTGTTCCTGTGTGTGCGTGTGCGTGTGCGGGCGAGAGCGAGGGGGGCGGGGCCACGGGCTCAGCTGACAGGGGACAGGGACACGGACGTGACAGGGGCTGTGGCAGGGATATGACAGGGGCAGGGCAGGGCGGGGACAGGGACAGAGAGGGACATGACAGGGGCAGAGAAGGACAATAACTGACAGGAACACAATAGGGACAGACAGGGACATGGCAGGGACATAACAGGGGCAGAGAGAGACGGGGACAGCGATGGACATGACAGTGGAAGGACAGGGACAGAGAGGGACAGGGACATGACAGGGACAGAGAGGGACAGTGACAGGGACATAGAGGGACAAGGACAGTGACATGACAGGGACAGAGAGAAACAGGGACATGACAGGGACAGAGAGGGACAAGGGCATAGAGGGACAGGGACATAGAGGGACAGGGACATAGAGGGACAAGGACAGTGACATGACAGGGACAGAGAGAAACAGGGACATGACATATACAGAGAGGGACAAGGGCATAGAGGGACAGGGACATAGAGGGACAGGGACATAGAGGGACAAGGACAGTGACATGACAGGGACAGAGAGAAACAGGGACATGACAGGGACAGAGAGGGACAGTGACAGACGGGGACATAGAGGGACAGGGACAGACAGGGACATAGAGGGACAAGGGCATAGAGGGACAGGGACGTAGAGGGACAAGGACAGTGACATGGCAGGGACATAGAGGGACAAGGACAGTGACATGACAGGGACAGAGAGGGACAGGGACATGACAGGGACAGAGAGGGACAGTGACAGACAGGGACATAGAGGGACAAGGACAGTGACATGACAGGGACAGAGAGAGACGGGGACATAGAGGGACAGGGACAGACAGGGACATAGAGGGACAAGGGCATAGAGGGACAGGGACATAGAGGGACAGGGACAGACAGGGACATAAAGGGACAGGGACAGACAGGGACATAGAGGGACAAGGACAGTGACATGACAGGGACATAGAGGGACAAGGGCATAGACGGACAGGGACATAGAGGGACAAGGGCAGTGACATGACAGGGACAGAGAGAGACGGGGACATAGAGGGACAGGGACAGACAGGGACATAGAGGGACAAGGGCAGTGACATGACAGGGACAGAGAGGGACAGGGACAGAGAGGGACAAGGGCATAGAGGGACAAGGACAGTGACATGACAGGGACAGAGAGGGACAAGGGCATAGAGGGACAAGGACAGTGACATGACAGGGACAGGGACATAGAGGGACAAGGGCAGTGACATGACAGGGACAGAGAGGGACAAGGACAGTGACATGACAGAGACATAAAGGGACAGGAACGGAGAGGGACAAGCACAGGCCAGACTGAGGCAGGACAGGAACAGGGACAGAGAGGGACCGGAGCAGAGATGAGGCAGGTACAGTGAGGGACAGGGACAGACAGGGGCAGAGAGAGACAGGACAGGGAGATGAAAGGGGCAGTGACGGGGGCAGTGACAGGGACAGATAGGGACAGCGACAGACAGGGGCAGGACAGGGACATGACAAGGACATGACAGGGAAAGGACATGGGCAGAGAGGGACAGGGCAGGAACAGAGGGGGACAGAGTGGGACAGTGACATGACAGGGACAGAGTGAGACAGGGACATGACAGGGACAGAGTGAGACAGGGACATGATGGGCAGGACAGTGACAGGACGTGGACAGGACAGGGGTAGAGAAGGACAGTGATAGACAGGGCTAGAGAGTGACATGAACAGACAGGGACATGACAAGGACAGACAGGGACAGAGACATGTCAGAGGCAGGACAGGAGCAGAGAGGGACAGGGACTTGACTGGGACAGAGCCAGACAGGGGCGTTACAGGGGCAGAGGGGAACAGGACGGGGACATGATGGACAGGGACATGGCCCAAATGGGACATGACAAGGACAGAGAGGAACAGTGACAGACAGGGACATGACAGGGATAGACAGGGACATGACAGGTGCAGAGAGGGACAGGGACAGAGAGGGACACGACAGGCACCGACAGACAGAAGGTCCACTTCATTTTTACTCATCTGACGTTTGATATTTCGGCTCCTGTGAATTATCCAGAGTTCACACCATAAAAAAAACACATTATAAAACTAGAGCCTCAGAGTCAGGTGCTCTCTCCAAACACATAGTGACAATTTCAAAGTGCCAGAGTCTCTAACCAGGGATCCTACGAGTTCTGTATCCACCACTCCACCTCTGACACAGAAGATTTACGAGTGCTGGGGCTCTTGAGTTTCAGGTTTTCTCACTTCTGAAACACGCTGCTGCCGGTGAGTGTTGCGGTGAGTGTTGCGGTGAGTCAGGCCGGCCGAGTTAAAATCCTGTTTGAAAGGAGAGAAACTTCGCAGCAGCAGTTAAACCTTCAAACCGGTAAAGTAGTAGCCCATAAAAATAAGTTGTACACACACAGTCCACTGAATTACAAGAGAACATTCGGAAAGGACATTTTTATCTGCAGGATATTTGTCCAGAGGCGAGTTCAGAGCCGCAGAATGAAGGAGCCAATAGACCAGAGGGAGGTATTTACACTGAAGTCTATGGTGCAATCTTTTATAATTCTAGGCAAAGCTTTATCATCTTTTTAGAGAGAAAAAGCGGGTTGTTCCTGATGACGTCATGCAGTGGGACCAAGCATGTTGAGGTCTAGAAAGGGAGACAAAAAGAACGACCAAAGTTTTGTTTTTCATAATTCAACTTTTTATTTCGTGTATGGCCTAATTTGTTGGTTTTAAATAAACTAAAAGTCTATAGCCAGTACGTCCTGCCACCTACTGAAATGCTCACCAATGATCAGTGTTGGGAAGGTGACTTTTAAAATGTATTCCCCTACAGATTACAGATTACATACCCCAAAATGTAGTTTGTAACATAATCCATTTAATTACTTAAAGTGAGTAACGTAATCTGAATACTTTGGATTACTTAATTTGCTGTAGAGAAGCAAAGACCAGGATATCGTAACATAAGATGTTTTGTCTGTTAAAAGAAAATAAAAAGCCCAGACTTTACTGAACCAAATTAAAAATATTATTGATAGAAGACGAGAAGACACAGTCCGCGCGGCATGATTTAGTCCTGTTAAATCCTGTTTGAGACATAGTTTAGTCCTGGTTTAGTCCTGGTTTAGACCTGGTTTAGATCTGGTTTGGACCTGGGTTTAGACCTGGTTTTAGACCTGGGTTTAGACCTGGTTTAGACCTGGTTTAGACCTGGTTTGGACCTGGTTTAGACCTGGTTTTAGACCTGGTTTAGACCTGGTTTAGACCTGGTTTAGACCTGGTTTAGACCTGGTTTAGACCTTAGACCTGGTTTAGACCTGGTTTAGACCTGGTTTAGACCTGGTTTAGACCTGGTTTAGACCTGGGTTTAGACCTGGTTTAGGCCTGGTTTAGACCTGGTTTAGACCTGGTTTTCGACCTGGTTTAGACCTGGTTTGGATCTGGGTTTAGACCTGGTTTGGACCTGGTTTGGACCTGGGTTTAGACCTGGTTTGGACCTGGTTTAGACCTGGTTTTAGACCTGGTTTAGACCTGGTTTAGTGTCCGGCAATGAGTGGAATTACCGGAAAAAAAAAAGAAAAAAAAGGGATATAGCCCAAAATGTGAAAACAGGAAAATACCTCCGTGTAATCCATTTATTTCAACAAAGTAACTGTAATCCAATTACCACTCACTGAAACAGTAACTGTAACTGAATAAGTTACTCATAATTTGTACTCTGATTACATAACTCTGGTACATGTAATCTGTTACTCGCCAACACTGACAATGATGCAGGACATGTCAGCAGCTGTACCACAGACAGAGGCTGATCTGGGAACGGTGGCGCCCTCTACAGGAACAGACGGAGCTCTACAACAGGCAGAGCTCACATCTGCCAGAGGCTCCTGCAAGTCTCCCACCAAGGTCAAGGTCAAAGGTGTAACTCGTTAAACAAAGACAGTAAACAGAGTCCTAAACTGTTGTAGGACGATAAGAAGTGTCAACACGTGTCTGTCATACTACATACTGAAATCTGGTGTGACAATGATCATGACCAGAATATTTACAAATAACAATAACATCACAAAAATTATTCAAACTGCTGACAAAAATGTTATGGATGTTATTAATTAAATATTAAATTTGTATGTTATGAATAAGTTCTATGTCAGTTTTGTTGCACTTTGAAAACAATATTGATAGAGGAGATCATCATGAACTAGGAAAAAAAAAAACAATATGTAGGTAAGTTAAAATGACTTAAATTAAGAATTTTACTTTTTTTTTTTTTTTTTTTACTTTATTTGAGTAAATTCAACTTCACAAGTGAAACTTTTTTGTGTTTTATATATCGCAAAACTGCTCTAAGGTTCATATTTGTAGCCTGTATAGACGAGTTTCAGCTGACGTCATTGTTATTAAAAACCTGCGTTGCATCCTGGGAAATATTTTGGTCGGAGGCAAGAAACACGATAGCGTCAAACACAGTGTGTAACCTCACGTATTTATCCCCGATAATGGTAAATTCCTGCTGCATTATCGGATGCACAAATAGAAGCACGGAAGAAGGAAAATGTCTTTTTCATATTCTGAGTGAAAAGAACCACTAACGGTGAATTAAACGACTTTCAAACATTCGACAGAGCAAACGTAGAAGATCCTAACAAACCGTGGACTCCAACAAGTTCAACAACACATCGAGACTCTTGAAGGTTTTCATCTTTTCTACTGTGAATGGCCCAGGAGTTTCCACCAAGTCATTGTGGATATCGCCCAAGTGAATATTTGTCCAGGTAGTTGGAGATTCTGACCAGAAATTTGGTTTGGTCCACCTTTTGTCGGGGTTGAAAAGGGTGATTTGGCTCCATCGATGCTTATGACCAATTTCTGGTCAAATGGTCTTGGGTCCTCTGCCGTTAGAGTGGATAAATAACCGGGATCAATACCCTTTACGTGCTTTCTCGCTCCGTCTGTCATGTTGAATTAGTGTTTCTTGCCACCGACCAAAATAATTCCCAGCATGCAACGCGCGCTTTTGTCAACAGTGAAACTCGCCTATTTATTTTCAATTTGAAAGTTTTGCATAAATTATCAATAACGAAGTGTTTTTTTTTTATGTACAGAGAGAGAAATGCTGAATAAATGGATTGTGTAACTAAAAAATAATCATTTGAATAATCGTGATAATGATTTTTTCTATAATCAAGCAAGGAAACCATTAAAGCTCCAAAGGGGAATATGTTTGTTTTTCAGCCCTTATGATATATATTTTTTTCTTTATTTTTTTCCGATATAGATGGACTTTGCATGTCCCTGATTGGCTAATCCACCTGTCAATCACACTCCTCTGAAAACAGGGAGACTCACCGGTGATGAGACTCAAAAGGCAAATCATTTGTCTGTTTTTGTTTTGAATTAATTGTCATTTACTGCGCCACGAGGTGTAGTTGTTGTACAAATTCAACGTGGGAGTCATTTTAAATTACCCCAGATGAGCGCCGCTTCGGGATCATTCCAAAAGTCTCCGTGTGTGTTTTTGTGTTTGTGTAAAAATAAGAACTGGATCCACAGTGAGTCCAGATGCTCCGTGCTCTGATGATGAGGCTGCGTGTGTCACAAAGCATCGCTCCGGGGGTGACTCACACAGACTCGCAAAGCCCGCGGCGCTCACACACACTGATCATCGACACATCCATCATATTAACACTTTCTCAATGCTCCATCACATCATCTCTGAATCTAAGCGGGGTTGGGCAAACATATCCGGAGTTGTGTTTTGTTTCATTCACACGTGTTTGTGTAACACTGAAGCTTTTAGTTAACAGCTCCTTTTACGTTTAGTTCAACAGAGATCGGCAATTCCAGGGCAGAAATACACGCATCAAGAATCTTGGACTTCCAGTCATTGCGCAATCCATACTGGGAAGGATTTTCCGAAAAAGTGAGCATGTGAGGATGTGTCTATTGTCAAAGTCGATCTTTTCAAGTCTTTTGAATCATATCGCTTTTGTTTCTGGTTCTGATATTGTCATATTTTAGTTTTGGGATTCGGACATCGTTAATTGTGTGGTTGTTGGATGTTCTAACAGCGGAAAACGGCTCGAGAAATGTGTTTGCGAACTTCATAGATGCAAAAGGGAATCAGATGTGTGACTGCAAACCTCTGTTCAAACTGTTTCCCTTCCCAACGGAACTGAAAAATAATGAAAGGTGAAGGCGATGGGCAGGATTGATCCACAGGAAGGACCAAAAAGAAACCTTTGGCTGCCTAAATCATCCCGAGTTTGCAGCGAACATTTTGTATTTGGAGCTCCATCAAAGCAAAATCCCGATCCCTCGCTCAACCTCGGTTACGAATTTAAAAAGTCAACGCCAAAGTGAAAGGCACCAACTGTTCACCAAGAAACACCTTCCACTGCAAAGAGACCAAGACGTGATGTTGCTGTAAAACCACAAGAACAAAAAAGTGCAGCTCAGTCTGTTTGTCTTCTGCACCTCTCGCTTAACAAACGGGATTTTGCTTTGTTGGCGCTCCGCATACAAACTCGGGAGGAGTTCCTAACCTGAATACACTAGACAGTTTGGAAGAACCCCGGAAGTGCGAGTTCAGGCACCAGCCAATCAGCAAAGATCCATACATTCTGTGTTGGCAACGATTCCCGAGATCGAGGATTTAAAGCCAGAACAAAGAGAATGTTTGGTGAATTTTATCAAGGGGAAAGACGTTACTGTCCTTCTTCCTACGGGATTTGGGAAAAGCTTAATTACCAGTTAGTCCCGTTAGCGGCGCCTTAAATACGTCACGACCAAACAGCAGCGATTGGTTAAATAAGTAATAAGTACCCGCCTACCATCGAAAGAACGAATCCTAATGCTGTGAGGTCAGACGGTTTCCACAAAGTGAAACTGGCTGATGAATTGTGTGTACAATGTGTGTACAAAATCATGAACTACATACAAATATGAAAATTGTATTATTCCAGTGGTTTGAAAACTCTTAACGGCAAATATTTGAGTTGAGCTAAATGAGCACTTTTAATTCAGCTGTTATCAAAAAGTACAACTATCCAATCTTTTAAGTTCTGGAATATTGTGACTTTTAAGTTCATCAACCCAATAACTGAGGCTATAGTCAGTGTTGGGGAGTAACAGATTACATGTACCGGAGTTAAGTAATCAGAGTACAAATGATGAGTAACTGTATTCAGTTACAGTTACTGTTTCAGTGAGTGGTAATTGGATTACAGTTACTTTGTTGAAATAAATGGATTACATGGCGGTATTTTCCTGTTTTACATTTTGGGCTAAACCAGGACTAAAACCAGAACTAAAACCAGGACTAAACTAGGACTAAAACCAGGACTAAACCAGAACTGAACCAGGACTAAACTAGGATGAAACCAGGACTAAACCAGGACTAAACCAGGACTAAACTAAGGACTAAAACCAGAACTAAAACCATTACTAAACCTGGACTAAACTAGGACTAAAACCAGGACTAAACCAGGACTAAAACCAGGTCTAAACCAGCACTAAACCAGGACTAAACTAGGACTAAAACCAGGACTAAACCAGGACTAAACCAGAACTAAAACCAGAACTAAAACCAGGACTAAAACCAGGTCTAAACCATGACTAAACCAGGACTAAACCAAGACTAAACCAGAACTAAAACCAGAACTAAAACCATTACTAAACCAGGACTAAACTAAGACTACAACCAGGACTAAACCACGATTAAACTAGGACTAAAACCAGAACTAACACCAGAACTAAAACCAGGACTAAACCAAGTCTAAACCAGGTCTAAACAAATACAATATAACACATAACAGTAGGTGGACATAATTTCAGGCAGCACTGATCTCATATAAAAATCATTTCTCTATCAATAATATTTTTAATCTGGTCAAGTAGAGACTGAACAAACATGACTTTTCAGGATGTGGTTGGTACATTCATGCAGTTTTAAAAAGCACGACAATATCAAGTAATCCAAAGTATTCAGATTACCTTACTCACTTTAAGTAATTTAATGGATTATGTTACAAACTACATTTTGGGGTATGTAATCTGTAATCTGTAGGGGAATACATTTTAAAAGTCACCTTCCCAACACTGTTTACACAAAAATAGGCGTACAGAATTCATATTTTGAAACTATGAATATATTTTATAGTCTTAAATTAAACCAAACATGAATCTGCTCCAGTTTTCTCCCTCGTCTTTCTTGTTTTGCAGCGCGCTGTGCCTTTAAGTCCGTGACGCGCCACCTCAGCCTCCGGAGAGCCGCTGCAGCCCCACTCACTCTCTTCTCCATCTCCGTCTCCTCAGCGCCGACAACAACACCACCACTGAACCGGGCCGAGGCGAACCGAACCGGGCCACCGAACCTCCGCAGAACCATGACGGAGAGCGCCAAGACGCACGTCATCCTGCTCTCGTGCGGGAGCTTCAACCCCATCACCAAAGGCCATATTCACATGTTCGGTAAGCCAGCGCATCCCACGGTGTAAATATAAAAGCAAAATACGTGTTACGCTTCGAGACACGCCCGTTTTTGGCGATTTCACCTCACGTTTCTTTCGTTTTCCTCAAGGTAAGACGTGTTTTTGTTTTTTTTTTCCGAAGGGCGGTGGTGTTAAAACGCGCAGGCCACACGTCTCCGTCCCACTTACCGTCAAACCAAAGTCTTTGATTGGCCTTTCAGGGGTGTGCCCCGAGACCAAAACGTGATCTAGACTTTAATGTATGTACGTGTGTTGTCAGTTCGTGTAGGCCTCCCTCCGCGCGCTTATACGTGACGCACCCATAAATATAAAGGCATTACGCACGAGGGAAAAGTGGGTTACAGCAGGGAGGATGGAGAAGCTGTGGGGTGCTGTGGGACGTAGGGTGTGTGTTTGCTGTGTGTGTGTGTGTCAAGGTTTAACTGTGGTCTGGTCAGGAGTGGTCATCGGGATGTCCAAGTGATTGACAGGACAGGTCTTGGTGGGATGTGTCCACGTGTAGGCCTACTGCATCATCACGTAGGCCGATATCGAAAGAACCCAGGTCCGAATCCAATCGTTACCTCGCAAAAAAAAAAAAAAAAAAAAAAAAGGCAAGAAGAGCCATCACATTATCAGCTTATAATAAACCAAGCAATACATTATTTATAAACCTTCAAACTCTGAGATTTTACGGTTTAGTCGACCTTTACACTTTGAAAAATCATGTCAGAATCATTACAGAATATGTTCAAAATCCGAAAGAGCCGATATGAGCTCAGATGTACGGGCACGTTTATCAAAAAGAAAATCAGAACAAATATTAAAGGGGTAGAGCTCTGGAACAATTGTAGCCTGATTCATCAGATGGTTTCACTTCGTGGAAACCGTCTGACCTCACAGCATTAGGATTTGTTCCCTCGATGGTAGGCGGGTACTTTTTTATTTAACCAATCGCTGCTATTTGGTCGTGATGTATGTAATGCGCCAAATCCTGTAGGAAGAAGGACAATAACGTCTTTCCTCTTGATAAAATTCACCAAACATTCTCTCGTTGCCAACACAGAAATAAAAAGTATGTCTTTGTCTACATCCATCATGACCGCTTTGTTCTCACTTGACTGTAGGCGGGTACTTTTTTAATTTAACCAGTCTCTGCTTTGTTTGTGACGTATGTAATGCACTGCTAACGGGACTAACTGGTATATTAAACTTTTCCCAAATCCCGCAGGAAGAAGGGCAATAACGTCTTTCCCCTTGATAAAATTCACCAAAACATTCTATTTGTTCCGGTTTTAAATCCTCGATCTTGGGAATCGTTGCCAACACAGAATGTCTGTCTTCGTCTACATCCATCTCGACGCTTTGTTTACTGTTGTGCTGTTCCACAAAAGGGACCCAGACAAACGCTTGAGTTTGACGTCATGGCTTCACAGCTGTTCACTGATTGGCCTACAACTTCCAGGGTTCTTGCAAACCGTTTAGATCAGGGGTCTCCAACTTGTAGCTCAGGATCTACCAGTAGCTCATACAAATTTGCTATGGTGTGCCCGCGTAGACCGTCGGGTGACCACGAGCGAAAGGACTGATTTAGAACTCCACGCTCCACGGGGGTAACCGCAACTGACGCCCGATCGCGCTTTGCAGACACCATGTTCCATGGGCTTGGAGTTCTTTCAGGGGCGGTCCTAGATTCCAAGTTCTAGTCCAAGATTAGTCCTGGTTCAGCTCTAGTTTAGTTCTAGTTTAGTCCTGGTTTAGACCTGGTTTAGACCTGGTTTAGTCCTGGTTTAGTCCTGGTTTAGTCCTGGTTTAGTCCAGGTTTAATCCTGGTGTAGTCCTGGTTTAGTTCTGGTTCAATTCTGGTTCAAGCTCTGGTTTAGTTCTGGTTTAGTCCTGGTTTAGTCCAGGTTCAATTTTCCCGGTTCAGTCCTCAGTTCAGTCCTGGTTTAGTCCTGGTTTAGACCTGGTTCAGTTCTGGTTTAGTCCTGGTTTAGTCCTGGTTTAGACCTGGTTCAATCCTGGTTTAGTCCTGGTTTAGTCCTGGTTCAGTTCTGGTTTAGTCCTGGTTTAGACCTGGTTCAATCCTGGTTTAGTCCTGGTTTAGAACTAGTTTAGTCCTGGTTCAGCTCTGATTTAGTCCTGGTTCAGTTCTGGTTTAGTCCTGGTTTAGACCTGGTTTAGTCCTGGTTTAGACCTGGTTCAATCCTGGTTTAGTCCTGGTTTAGACCTGGTTTAAAACTAGTTTAGTCCTGGTTCAGCTCTGATTTAGTCCTGGTTCAGTTCTGGTTCAGTTCTGGTTTAGTCCTGGTTTAGACCTGGTTTAGTCCTGGTTCAGGTTTAGTCCTGGTTTAGTCCTGGTTTAGTCCTGGTTCAGCTCTGATTTAGTCCTGGTTTAGACCTGGTTTAGTCCTGGTTCAGCTCTGATTTAGTCCTGGTTTAGTCCATATACGGCGCAAAAGTTCAGCATCTTCACAGTTATTTTGGTGAGAGTAATTTAAAAGTGCTGCAATATTAATGCAATGTTTTACATTTTAAACACAGTAATATTGTAATGTAACGAATTACTTTGAAATGACAGTAACAAGTCATAAAAATAACACATTATAGTTTTAAAGTCACTTGCCCAACAGTGACGTTTTACAGGTAACTGTACATTTAAGGTTTGCCGTCTTATATCAAATCAATTTCTTGCAAACGCTGAAATGAGAAGCTCTCCAGCATTTTCATTTTGTAAAGTTCGCTCACCGGACACAAAAAGTTGGAGATCCCTGGTCTAATGTATTTTGATTCCTGACCTAGTCGCTGGAGAGAAATGAAATTGAGCAGAGGCACTAGGTGGCGCCAGACTCAAGAACAATTGTACAGAAGACCTAAAATTGTGCACCCCCTCTTCCATTTTAAAAAGAAGTTTAAATGTTTAACTCTGGACAGATACATGAATTATGGTTCTTAGTTTGTGCTGTAGTACTTTGTTGCACTGTTAGTGATTTGTTTGTTTCCTCTCGTTGTATTTATGAAAATGAACTGGTTTAAATATGACGCTCTGAAGGAATAAAGGGTAAAAAAAAGGGGCAGAATAAACTCAAGCTTCCGCCTACACCTTTTCGGTCTGTGTATGTGGAATAATGTCGGAATAAACCTGTGACAGAAATAAATTAATCAATCAAATCAAACTAATAACCACGTAACATCATTTTACATTACTCAGGATCTTCTGGTAGTTTCCTTCAGCGTATTTACTAACCCAGTGATACTTTGGGTCTCCTAATGTAGAGTAGGAGAGTTCTGGAATAATAATGAAGGCATGGCATGTTAAAGAGCGACTGTTGTGCCAAATTCTCTTTATTCTTGTTCTTCTTGAGCTTTCTACCGTGTTAAAATTTTGCAGCACTATATACGGCAACAGAGAGATATTAAAACGACATTAGAAGAAGCTGATAGAAAAACAATAACACAAGATACAGTTTTTAAATATTTGTAGAATCGGTCAGTCGTCGAGGTAGAATCCATGGCAAAGGAAAAGTTCAATTCCTTCCTTCGTTATTTTTAAATCGACAGTATCATTAAAAGGCACGAGCTCTTAAACTGCAAAAAAACAAAATCTAGTCAAGTTAAGATGGCTTGAATTAAGAAAGTTTTATCATGATTTGAGTAAATTTCACTTGACAAGCAAAATGATCTGCCAGTGGAATAAGACTTTTTGTACTTAAAATATGAAAATACATCTTGCAGCACTTAAAAAAAAAGAAAAACAACAACTTTTTGCACTTAAAATAAGAAACGAAATTGAATGTTGCTTGAATTAAGAAAAACACACTTATTCCATTGGTCGATAATTTTACTTGTCAAGTTGAATCTACTAAAATAAAGTTAAATATTCTTAATTTAAGTCATTTTAACTTACCTAGATATTGTTTTTTTTTTTCCAGTGTACAAATAAATAGCAGAATGAACCCATAATTAGCCCTAAGAGTCACTGATTCTTAGCCAGACTGGAGCCATCTAGTGCCTCCGCTCAATTTCATTTCTCTCCAGCGACTAGGTCAGGAATCAAAATACACTAGACGGTTTGAAAAAACCCTTGAAGTTGTAGACCGTGCACCGACCAATCAACGAAGAGCTGTGAAGACATGACGTCAAACTCAAGCGTCTGTCTGGGTCCCTTTTGTGGAACAGCACAACAGTAAACAAAGCGTCAAGATGAATGTAGACGAAGACATACATTCCGTGTTGGCAACGATTCCCGAGATCGAGGATTTAAAGTCTAAACAAAGAGAATGTTTGGTGAATTTTATCAAAGGGAAAGACGTTATTGCCCTTCTTCCTACGAGATTTGGTACATTACATTTGTCACAACCAAACAGCAGCGATTAGTTAAATTAAAAAAAAGTACCCGCCTACTGTCGAGCGAATGAATCCTAATGCTGCGAGGTCAGACGGTTTCCATGAAGTTAGTTAAACCAGCTGATGAATCCGGCTAACTGATTCCACCTTTTACAGCTCGAATCAACAAAAATACCCCAAATCTCCAAACTTTTGCAAAGAAATTGTACACATGATAAATACTGAGCCTCAAAATATAAGATTCTATCCTTTATGTATCATCAACCATAAGTCGATATAATTCTTGAGGCAGGCGGTCTGGATGTGCCAGGCGGGGTTGCTGGGAGAAAAGTTTGTGAATTTGGATCGCTGATTACTATAGGCCTACAACTATCACCTGTTTGTTTGTTTCATTCACACGTTTAAAACACAAATCCTGCATATTTAGGCTCTTGAGTTCTTCTTTCAGACTGAAAACGCTCTGTTCCACCTTGTGATGTCATGTAGTAATACGGGAAATGCACCACGGTCTGTTTAAACTCCACACACCTTCGCTAGAATCATTTGGATGATTTCAGTCCTGGATTTTCAGTATCTACTGAGGCAAAGGTAAAAGGAGCTGTTCACTTGGAAACTATCGCTAAATGACATCACAAGGTGGAACAGAGCATTTTG